CATTTGCTCTCAGTCACTGAATTAAATATAAAGGTTATAACATCATATCAGTTTTGTGTATTTCTTTTCTGTTCAATATCTGACTCTAATTTCAACCTTTATCTGATAAATTTATTGGATGTCTGGTAACTTAGAGGATCCAGTAATCGATCACTCTTGATATATTGCTACGCTTGTTCATTATTACCTACTAAGCCTACACCTTGTGATGCAACACCTACAAACCCCGGCATATCCATCACGTAGTTAAAAAACTAGTTGAAGAAAGAGAAGAAAATTTGTTAGTGAGGAGAAGAAAAAACTATCCATCTGGAGAAAAATTACTCCGACTAAAGACCCTCTGGGGATATGGCCTGTCAAAAGCCTGCATAAAGTCGACGGCTTGGGTATGGAGCTAGTAACTACATTCCTTAGAAAAATAACTAGCAGAAATGGCAGTCGGAAAATTTAATCAGGCGAGAAATCCGAAAATGTAACGATGTGTCTACGAGAGCATTGCAGCCTCGAGGCTTGGTAAGTTTCACTGAAGACAATTGAGAAATCGGAAATCGAAACATAATATCAAAGATTTTACAGGCCATATTATTAGGATAAGGTCCAGTAGTTACAGTCTACCCGAATGCACAAGTTAAAATTATAACATAATATCTAAATTCACTTTCAACTTCTGTTCCTTGTGAAGATCTTTTTTTCTATACTATTTTATTTTGAATGAGAAGTGTTTTGTTTGTTTTGGTATAACATCTATGCTTCACCGCGCTGTTTAACAAGACACGAACAAAGACCAGCTGCAACCACGTTTCTGGACTTTGATATGTATAGCGGTGAAAAAGTAATATTCTACAGATCTTGCCATCTCCATAAGTTCCTGTCGTCACAGCTGCTTCAACCCCAAAATAAAAGTATTCATTTGCCAATAGACACAATTCGTGCAAACGTTACCTGATCCATAGGAAGTTTTTCGCTGCCACGAAGTATCCGTTTATGTTGTAAAACATCAAACCTCTCCATATGTCATAATTCTTGCTGAAACGTTATTCCCCTCAACATCACGGATGGATAAGTGATCATACAGGACATAACACTTTTCGAACGCTGTTGGGTATTAAAAACATGATTAGGAGTTGTTTTATGCACTGATATCCACTTCTAAGCAGTAATACCACATTTCGGAAGTTATCCGAGGTGGCATAAGCATGTTGACGTCGTCTCAGTGTGATTGTTATCAAGTGCTTCGTTAGTCGGGGCTACTTTTCCTCCCAAAGATATTAGTGCCTATAAAGATAAGATATTCCTGAAGGACATATTTCAGGACTAATTTGGCTGCCAAAAATATCTCTATGTATTGATACCTGAACGACCAAGAAGCCTGTACTCTACAAAAGGCCTAACAGTGAAGGTTCTGATCAACTTAGAGATAACCGAGACGTTTAATGTTGGGCTTTTCTGACCAAGATAAACCGGGAAGCTACAGGCGCAGATTACTCCTCAGCTCTAGACCTAGATGACTGCCTGGAGAATATCGATCCCATGTTACTATTAAGAAACCTAAAATCACTTCCATCGGTAAATTCCCATGAACCAGATACTACTCTCTGTTCAGTCCTATTACAGTGCACGGAAGCCACTAGTAAATTGGTATGTGACCTGTACAGACACACAGCAGGTTTCCAGTAACCTGAAGAAGCCTAGAGTCCTATGAACCGGTAGCATGACTGTCAGTCTTGTAGAATGTGATGGAAAAATGCCTAGTAATCAAATAATTGTCTAAATCTGACAATGGTTTGGTAAATTTGCTTACACTATAACCATTCAAAAATTAGCAAAATGGTTGTTACTGATCAGCCTTTATCTAGGCTCCGAAACTGCTTAAAGTGCTCAGTGTTTTGTAATAATAAAAACAGAGGTATCATAATTTTGGGGGTTTCGAAATCAATGAAAGTATCAAATTCAGATGGCGCAAAGCTCGGGAGGTTCATAAAACGGTGGAAGGACTTGCTATGGGCTAAAATTTAGTACGACAATGTCATCTCATGCATATCCGGCCCGATAGGAACAAAATAAAGAAATTATGTAAGAATATGCTCAGAATTTTACTCATTGCGCGTTCTCGGGTTAGCAATCAATTTATGTTCGCAACCAACTCAAACTTGATTACCGATGTAGCTTAAGCTAAATCAATGCATGACTTTAAACAAAAACAACATGATACTACCAATGCAGAATTGTTACTTATACTGTTTGAAATATGCTGATAGCATCATCACGAAGTCCATTGCTCCGTTGCACTTAGTCTCTTCGGAATGCGCATAAATTTCTCAGATCAAGGATAGAGAGGGGTAATCTTATGTGTGGTGTGGCGAATAAACATGTTTTTCCATCATACTCAGTGATGATTTCGAATGTTCATTCTGAGGTATCGGAGGGTCAGAAATGATCTGATAACAATGCTCAAGACACTAAGTGTACGTCTCGTAACTAATCGACCGTCATCATTTTTACCTATTGTTAGAATATTCCAACCATGCTTTTGCTCATCACTGTTTCTTCCATTAATTTCGCAATTCAGTCTTTTCACATTGTGTGCATAAATAAGTAACAAACGTACCTATTTACTTATTAAGTTGCCGACCATGACACAGACGTCAAATTAAACATGATCATGAATGAAATAGTCAGGAAGGATGGAAACGTGTCTTAGCTATACTACTCTAAGGCAAACTACATGTGCCTGAGCAAGCATCTTCTGAACGCTTCACGTTCAAGAGAATGGTGCAGTCTAACAGTAGAGGGTCACTGCGAAACAGTAGGGAATATCAATCAGAATCTTGTCCTGTACTCAGGAACATAAAAGATTGGGAAAGAGAAGAACTTGGGATAAATGAGGCTCTGAAAGCTTGCTACGAGCGGAAAGATGAACCTGGAAGAAGTTGAGGGCTATCTTAGAAGTAGAAAGTCTCCATAAGGGATTCCAATCATAGATCGTACTTGGCGTTAGGAAAGAAATTCAAATCAATATGGGACACTTCCAGACGAAGCCGGCAGACGAAAAACGGGCGAACTCAAAATATTGGTTTCCGTTTATGATCAAATTAAAACTTCTGACTTAGTACTGAGAAAACTAAAATACTAGCACCTAGCAAAGTCACCAGAATGTGGTAATTTCGTCTTATCGTCTTGAATCTGTACGCGGAGGCGCTCGCTCAACCTATATGTGACCTGTTTAGGAATTCACTGGAGTTACATCAACATCCAGAGTAATGGAAACAAGCTACTCTCCTCCACTCTTCAAAAGCGGAAGCAAGAGTGAAACGGACTGACAAAGAGAGCCTGGGCACGACTTTCAAAACATCAGAAGAAAAGAACTCGATCTTAACCTCGAAAAATTGCTCATTAAAGAACTAATACCAAAGATGATGCTCACTTTTTCTTATCATGAGCTGTATCGATATAGAACTCTCTCCCAGTTGAAACGAACACAGCTTCCGCTGTGAATAGCTTAAGATTTGAAAAACATATACTTATATATGGATTATCACCTCCTTCTTGGAGCATTTGTGTATGACGCATGCCTCGAAACTTGCTAGGAAAAATACCTATAGCATGCATTGGATATTGGACACTTATGACCTAAAAGGCGCATCAAATGACAACTTGCGGTACTATAAAGGATTTTGTTATCAATGTAACAATACTATATTGTTGAGATTATCCCTTCAGAAACAAGCGAATGAACAATTGAGTAACAGGAAAAGTAACGAGAAATCACCTGCTGTTGTTGAGCATGACTTAAAAGTGAGGATCTTATATTTTAATGCTGAAACGTTAAAGTGATTATTTTTATCATCGTGTTTCAAAGACCGAAAAATCCCACATACCACAGCATTTTCTTTTCTTAGGCTTGCATATAATATCGAGTCTGCACTGTCGACAGCCTAAGCCTCTAAAAATCTATGATTTGAAATAATCTTTCGCTATGCTGTCACGGTACTTTTTGGTGTCTCCAAACAAGTTAGATATAGAACTTCCAGCTATTTTCATGGAATTCGAACGCTTTTGTGAGCGTAATTTATTCTCGCAACGGTTGGTATTACGATAAAAGCTTTAATTTCCAGTCTCTAATCCTAACGACTAATAAATAGTTCCAACTGGAAATTTCATAAACTGTTGAAAAGCTTCTTGAGTTCATATAAAAGTTTAACTAAGCAGCGCGTATACTTGTAGAGGGATGTGCTTTTTGTCTTTGATTCATTAATTATGTGAAATGTTTCTCATTCCGTAATGAAAATACTCTCTTATCCATAAAGCACCCGTTTATAAGAGAAATTTTTTTACTAAATGTTGAATAGCCGGGAATTAGCTCGCATCTCAGTTTTTGTAATTTCTTCTAACCGCCTTACTGAGGTTGCTTGAAGCCTTCTACATCGTACAGGCCAAACTTCATTGGTGTGTGTTTCTGAAGACGGATATGGTTATCCTTACTTTTTTGCTCTTGTGTTTCAGCACCCCATTTTCGCACGTTTGACATTTTGTCTGCACGTTATCTGTAAATCGGTTTGTGTATCATAAACTGTGTTTCGAGAGTCCCACCATGATTTTAATTTAATATATAGCTAGATCGACAGTATTATCTACAGTCTGCAATTTAATTTCGTCCATGAAAATGTACAGGAAAAAGTATTTCACAGGCTTTGGAAGAATAATAACTAAGAACTGAAAAACTCATTATTATTATTATCTTGTTATTATACTGAAAACCGATTCATTTAAAACAGGAAAACCGTTAAAAACAACCAAGATCATACTGTGTTTTCAGTAAAGAAGACATCATTGTTTTCTGAAAAGAATATTAAAGATTTGATTAAAATGTCACAGTGATTAACTGTTGAAATACTCAAACATATCGTATCCTACCTAATAATCTATCATTATTTATATTTCAGATTCCAAAAAAGATAGTTTGTAAATTATTTTTAATTTCTTAGACACATTCAAAACACATGGAATCAGCTACTACTATTAAAAATCAATTAATGGTACTTTTTGACAATTTAAAAAATATTCAACCAAATGAACGAGATAAATTAATTACATTTATGAAAACAACTTTGTCACAATTACAAGAGAATAATGATAATGAAAGTAATACTATATGTCAGGCTATTACAAGCAATAATGACAACTATACTTATTGTTATGACGAAAATGTAAATACTACTACTACTTCTACTACTACTACTACCACTACTACTACTACTACTAATGTTAGTTTGACTAATAGCTCTCCAACGTATGTGAATTTAAAATCGTCAGAACTGTATAATTTAACAAATACCAATGTAGACGGTTCACAGTTATCGTTTGAAGCAACAAATGAATCAGTAGTCAATCAAATGAATGGCTTCCCTACAATAACAACAGTGGAACATCATAATACGGCTACTACTTCTACTACTACTACTAATCCGACTGTTAACCTGCCAGGTTTGTTCATTTTTTTCGCTATTATTAAACGATAACTTTCATTTTAGAAGTGATCGATGTGAACAACTATATATCTACACCTACAAGTAAACCAACACTTACTTGCTCAAATCTCACTAATGAAACGGTTAGTTTTTGTGAATATGTGTAGTATATGACTATGATAAGTTGATTTTATTAATGTTTAGTTACGTATGCCTAACCACCGCCTGCCGCGACGAGCTGTTTTGTGGTGTAGGAGTAGGTTGGAAGAAAGTAAGGGGTGGCCAAACCAAAACATGGCAGAAATCCATAAAGTCACTGAAGAGTGGACTGAGTCATGTTGGTAGATGTAGACTAACTAACTGGTTGGTGTCCGCGAGACGAAAGTCACCAGTGGTCTGAGACCTTGAAAGACATGGCTCAGAATCGTTTGCAATTGTACAGATGCATCCACTCTTTGTGTTCTATGAAATTCTAACCTTTTGAATTCCTCATAATCTCTATCTTTCTCCTTCTAAATTTATCTCACTGAATTATACTTTTCGAATCATATCTTTGTTCCATAATCTTCTCCATTGCTGCTAATACTTCTACTATCGCTATCACTCTTGGATTTGAACTGACAGTTACGTCTCTGTGCTGACGTGGTATGGCAACCTGAACTGATGTACTTATGTACGAAGTTCTGCGTTGTATCTGTCTGTCTGTTTGTCTTTTTAAAATTTAAACTCATAAACATTGGTTACAAACGGGCACTTAAATATTTATACAGTATGCAAATTACTGAATTTGTAGGTGGCGTGGGATATTTCTCTGACACCGAAACCGGAACAGGTGGTTTTCTTAAGTGACCACTTTCAGAGCTTTTCACCTAGAAGTTTAATCCACAAGGTAGCGGAGCAACATTCGATTCTGTCTTGGATGACTAACAATAGTTTAATATGTGATTTGTTTCTTTAGTATCCTGCATCCTATGTGAACTATTGTCTTAAACCTCTTCTCGTCGGGTTCCCCAGTTTAAGCGTCGAAAATTCTCTTTTCGACATTTCAGTTTTGTAATCAACAATTCTGCCACAAGAAGACAATGAGTAAGACTTCCCTGACAGTGTCTATACATGCGTGACACTAAATGAAGGTATTTGGAGAGTGAACTCTCCTCACGCTCGATCGTACTAAGGGTAATACAGTTAAATAAATTTACCTTTGTATGCAAGGTTAATTTTATATTAGTTTTCAATGCAACCGGAGACTAAACATCACTGCCTAATCTTGTGGCACAATCATGTACAGTTTTGTAGATTCTACTTTCAGCCAAAAGGGTTAATGATACTACTACTGTGGTGTGAGCTACTTATAAGTAGTATATGACGTGAGTGTCAACGTAATGTCTGGCAGCAGAAGATGGGGGAAGATCAAGAAAGGAAGAGTTAGAACACAATGGAACACAATGTATGAAATGCATGAATAGTGACGATGAATTGATGTTTTGCAACAGGAACAACAGTCCAGTTCGATATGATGAACTGATATTTTGCAAATTAACTAACGATATACGATATGGTTTTCCAATTTTACTGAGTAACTCTGTAATTTTCATTAAATACAATCCGGTTGTCTTCACCTGTGTTCTCCTTCACTACACTACTACTACTACTACCTAACTGGTCAAGAAGTTTTTAAATTTGTTACCCGAATAGTTGAACCTTGAATATGTTAAAAGTAACAAAAAAAAAGACGCCAATAGTAATTTGTTTCCCTTATTCTTCATTATCTATTTTCAGTATGAAGCACAAAATTCTTCAATCTCATTCAGTAGTGATAACAACAGCAATATTACTGATAATCATTCAACATCCAATTCCACTTTAAATCATAAAAAATCATCTTACAATTATTATTATCCTAATAATCAAATTTTCCTTCATTGTCCATTATGTTGTCAATTGAAATTTGATAATTGGCCAAATTTAAAATATCATTTATATTATGAACATCAACGAAAGTCAACCAATCATAATAATGTATCACCTATATGTTGGCGATGTCAAGGTATATTTGATAATCATGCCCTCCTGCTAGCACATGAATGTTTTGATTGGGGTCGACTGAATTTACCCTGTGCAATGTATATGCATAAATCATTGAAAACATTTCATCAATTCTCTGAAGATGAATTAATTGAAAAACAATTTCCTTTAGATGGTGTATTTTTAAATAGACGTTGTAGTTTATGTTATAAAGCCAATGTTACTTATACATCCTATGATGAATTTGAAAAGTAAGTTCTTATTTGTATAGTAGTTTTTTTTTTTGGCCTCGACGAGCTTTGTTTTGTAGTATAGGAATAGGTTGAAAGAAAGTTAGGGGCGGCTAAATCAAAACATGTCAGAAATCGATGAAATCATTGACGAATGGACTTAGCCATGTCGGTAGTTGTCGACTACCACCTGGTTGGGGTCCGCGAGATGATGATAATCGATGGTTAGAGACCATGAATGACATGGCTCAAAATCGTTCGCAATGGCGCCGATGCATTTATGCTTTGTGTTCTCTCAAATGCTAATCTTCTGGGTTCTTCAACCACTCTAGTTTTGACTTTCTAAACTTTTCTCACTGAATCATACTTCTTGAATAATATCTTTTAATCCTAACTTCTCCGATTACTTCTAATGCCTTTACTACCTCTTCTACTATTGGATTTGAATTGACAATTACATCTCTGTGCTGATGTGGTATGGTAACATGAACTGATGTACTTACTACGTACGAAGTTCTACGTTGCATCTGACTGACTGACTGAGTTTTTTTTTTTAAAGTGAATTACTTAATAATGTATGCAGAAAATTTTCATGAGTTATTTGTTATGAATATAATATGTGAAACTGCTAACTCCTACATCATTATGTAATCAAAAGGTGTTAGGATATTATTCACCAAATATCTTAAGAGTACTACCATTTTTGGAAGTATAATCCTATTGGTCGATTTCTATTGGTTAAAAATTATGATCGTTTTAAACTGTCAAAGTCAAATGCTTCAATGTTGTCTCTGATTGGTCATCCGGATTGTCAATGTCATTTCAAATGTTCTTTCTTATTGGTCGTCTCATTTGTCAGTGACTTCATGGATTTCTGCCATGTTTTGATTTGGCCGCCCCTAGTTTTCTCCCAACCTCCTACTCCTACACTCAAAAACATAGCTCGTTGAGGCAGTTGGTGGTTAGGCATACACAACACAAATACTAACCACCACAACTGATGAAGTTTCACTACTTCATCTATTGATTTTCCATCCTTACCTAATACTCGTATCCTAACGACAGCATTGCTTACTCGGTTGTCCCATGATATACGAGCAATGCTTCTAAGACATCTATGAACGATGACAAGCAACCTATGAATATGTTCTACTCTGACTGGCTATGGGATTGTATTGATTGTATAGCCTTGGAGTTTTTAAAACTTCAATCTGAATATGATACATATTCACAATGTAACTTTCATTTATAGATACACATTTGAACAAATATTTAGATGTTTTAAGCTTTTGAGATGCATAGATTAGTCCAAACAAGGACCATAAACAGCGCAAGTCTGACTTAGGGTAAATTCAGTTTTAGGTTCATGCTTAAGATGTTCAACTTTCGATCGATCAACCTCCAATTGCGCACTCCCGAGTAAGCATCGCTGTTATTAGGAAACGGGTGCTAGGTAAGAATGGTAGATCAATAGATGAAGTATTGAAACTTCATCAGTTGTCGTGGTTGGGACGTGGTTGCCTCGACAAGCTATGATTTGTGGTGTCGGAGTGGGTTGGAAGAAAGTTAGGGGCGGCCAAACCAAAACATGGCACAAAATCCATGAAGTCATTGACAAGTGAACTGAGCCTTGCTGTTTCCTATTCGACTTAAATGTATAAATACGCACTATCATGTAAGACTTCATGATTCCGTTTCTTCCTGCCTACCTCTTTTCTGTACTCGACCCAATAATAAACAACTCCATCCTACGGTGTTGCGTTCTGATATATAGGAGATTTGGAAATAGCATTTGGGTCGAGCTGGGATATTTGAATTTGGACGCCGTTAGGACTGAATAGCAGCTATATGTAGCAGCATTATAACAAAAGGGAGATTAACACAATGAGTTGAAGCATTGCTCGTATATCTTGGGGTCACCGAATACTAGGTACAGCAGATTAATAGATTAAGTAGTGAAATTTCATTATTGGATATCGTTGGGACATGTATTACAAATGCCCAACCACCGACTGCCTCAGTGAGCAATGATGTCTGGTGTAGGGGTAGGTTGGAAGGAAGGTAGGGGCTACTAGACCAAAATATAGCACAAATCCACAAAGTCACTGACAAGTGGACTGAGTTATGTGAATAGGTATAGACTACCTAGTTAGGGTTCGCGAGATGATAGTAACTGATGGTTAGAGACCTTGAATGACATGGCTCAAAATCGTTTACAGTGTTGCAGACTCATCCATTCCTTGACTTCTCTCAAATTCCGATCTTTTGAATTCCTCACGATGATTTTTCTCTCTCCGTTTTTATAAATTGATTCCTCTGAGATATACTTCACGAATGATATCTTCGGTCACTAATCTTGTCAATTACTTTTAATACTTCTACTACCTATACTACCATTGGGTTTGAACTGAAAATTCAATCTTTCTGTGTGCTAATGTGGTGGTTTGGGAACTTGAATTAATGTACGTACATACGAAGTTGTGCATTGTAGCTGACTGAACAGAATGATTGATATGAAATAACGTTAGATTAGAAAAATAGCTAAGCATAAGAAATATACAGTACTGCTTACCGTATACCATTGTCTTCGCTGAATAACTGTAACTCTGAGAATCCTCTGTTGAAGCTAGTTACTGTGAGCACATGATAACTATCAGTGTAGAGGGTTGTGGAGATTGTTGAATTTCATTGAAATCATAAACGGATCAGTGATAGACCGACATCGAAAACCTGGAAGCACTGGACTGTCATTTCGTTGTAGCAGGAGACTTATCAGCAGTGCAAATGCACAACACAGTATGCGGGAATCGAACCTAGTACATTCAGAAGAGAATTATTGGAGTTTTAGTGAGAATTTATGACAAGTGAATTGTTAGTAGGACATAGACGGCTAATTTCCTATCCAATCAGCGCCTGGCCCGTACTTGGAGAACAGGCTAGAAAGTTCTCGTGTTGTTAGCTGCATGCTGATTGGCTAAATCTAACCCAGTCGATCACGTGGATTACAATCCCGAAGCTTCTCATGTAAAAACTATAACGGCGCTAACGTTGTATCTATTTCGCCTTCGCCTTCAGCTTCGTATTTCCATTTAACCTTGCTATTGGGAATATTAATCTTTCCTGTTCTACTGTGTTTTTGATTCTTTGGAACTTGTCCAGTAGTGTATTGTATGGTCAGAGTATACTAAGCAATAGGAATTATCTGGGAATTATTTAAGCGAGAATTACAACATGAAGCCTAACTATATCGGGTGTGGGGCAACTAACTGTCCATCAAAGACAATGGATAATTTTGGGGCACAGTTTTGGAGGTTTACGTTTTTACACATTTGAAATCATTAATCAGTCATCATTGTTAGACCACCATTAGAAACCTGGAAGCACTGAAAGACGGCCGTTTCGTCCTAGTATGGGACTCCTCAGCAGTGCACAGTGGCAGTAACTACCAAAGACAAATGGGTGAGGTCGCGCGAAATCCCTAGATCAATCAGAGTTAGACATTAACACCGTTGGATGCCGGCCCAGTGGTCCGATGGTAAGGCGTTCGCCTACAATGCCAAAGGTCCCGGGTTCGAATCCTGCGAGGAGCAGGAGTCGTGGATGCGCACTGTTGAGGAGTCCCATACTAGGACGAAACGGCCGTCTTCCAGTGCTTCCAGGTTTCTAATGGTGGTTTAACAATGATGATTGATTAATGATTTCAAATGTGTAAAAACAATGAATAATAGTCACACAATACTGTAAATAGATTCAACTTTGATAGTAACATTGTTAAACATTGACACAATGGTCTAGAGGTTAAGCGTTCCGATTTTCGATTATTGAGTAACCAGGTCGAGGATGCACACTGTTAATGAAATGATTTTTGGATTTTATTGATTTTTTAACTGTTATTTTTTCTTTTTTTTTGAAAACAATTTTTCATTTTTCTTAGACATAAACTATCTTCACATTCTATCCCAGGAAGAGATAGCGGTTATGAACCTTTCACCGTCACATCACCAACTAATAATACATCGTCATCATTGTTTAAATCAAGTCGTCGGAGGAAGAAACATTCCACAAAGGTGTGTTTTATTTTAAAGTATTTATCTTCAGCGTTGTGTTGTTTTTAGCGAAGTTAGTTTTCTATGAGATATGGGGTCGTCAACCCCAAGTCTAACTCTCCTCTTTTATCCGGGCTTGGGACCGACAGTAGCCACGGAGGGGCTCCAGCTGGAGTTAAAGTATTTGTTTCATATATATATTTCCTTAGTGTCAATCACTAGGTGAATTCTCGCCGTGCTAAGTAGAGTTCAACTGTGTCAAGTGTGGGAAAGCTTACCCACTAGACGCAGTAGTGACATTTCATCAGTTGAGGTGGTTGGGACATGTGTTGCGTATGCCCAACCACCGACCGCCTCGTCGAACTTTGTTTTGTAGTGTAGGAATAGGTTGGAAGAAAGTTAGGGGCGGCCAAACCAAAACATGGCACATATCCATGAAGTCATTGACGAGTGGACTTAGCCATGTCGGTAATTGTCGACTACCTGGTTGAGGTCCGCGAGATGATAATAATCGATGGTTAGAGACCTTGAATGACATGGCTCAAAATCGTTCGCAATGGCGCCGGTGCATTTATTCTTTGTGTTCTCTCGAATCCTAATCTTTTGGGTTCTTAAACAACTCTAGTTTTGACTTGCTAAACTTTTCTCACTGAATCATGTTTCTTGAATAATATCTTATAATCCTAACCTCTCCGATTACTTCTAATACCTTTACTACGTCTCAGTCAGTCAGTCAGTCCCGACCGTAGCTGCTACCTTGACGTGGTGGTCGGGCTTGCCTATCGTGATGACCCAACCGAGCTATACTGGCTGGAACACATGTTCCTGCAGGTCCTACCATGCCAGACAGGTCGATTGGAGAACGATGAGACTAAAAGCAGCTACCCAAGGTCTGAGGGTGAAGTCGTACTGCTGACTGCAGAGGGGTGTGACAGCAGTAAGGTGTTTCCCTCGGACAACCAGCATCTGCAGCGATGCTGCCTTCTCACAAGGAAGGAAGGGTTAGAAAAGGTCGGCCCTAAAAATGTCACACCTCCCCTAACTCACGGATTTCCGTCTCCTTGGGTAAGGGTGCCCACTAAGGGCCTTTAAGAACGGAGCTAATCCTCAAAAAACATTTGATAAAAAGGCCGTGCGTGACCGGCCTCAAGCAGTTGTCCCTTGGACTCTGCGGTCACGCACCAACACTAATCTATTTTCCTTTTCAGGTTCCTCAAGAAACAACCTTCCACGGTGTGGGCAGCCGGGAAGTGACAACCGCCCTCATACCCATAACAGCACGCGAGACCAAATTGGTCAAAATCAAATCCTTCCTACACCCCCTAGTACCTCTCTTATCTCCACGACTAACTCTTCTCACATTCATTCATCACAGTGCACAGCTAATGCAGACGATACGAGTTCGCGAAACGTCGTTCCTGGTCTCCTTAAACCTCGCTCTAGACTACATGTTGGAGCATTTAATGTACGGACATTGTGTCAAATAGGGCAACAGGCTTCCTTAGCTAGGACTTTAGAATCTCGTTCCATCGATGTATGCTGCGTCTCGGAAACGCGCATACAGGATCCGAGTCACGTCATACACTTGACCACACCATGTCAAAATAAAGAAGCAGCTCGATTTACTACGTCTACTACTATTGGATTTGAATTGACAATTATATCCCTCTGTGCTGATGTGGTATGTCGACATGAACTGATGTACTTACGTACGAAGTTCTACGTTGCATCTGACTGACTGACTGACTGAATATATGACAGTCTTATAGTGTCATGGATTGATTGACGTTAGACACTAACACTTATTGAGTGCTGACTCAGTGACCCGAAATTTAAACTTTCGCGCACAAGGCCAAACGTCCTGAATTAGATTCCTGCTTCCGATAATCATGGATGCTTCATTCTACTGATGAGTCCCATACCAGGATAAAATGGTTGTATAGTTCTCCCAGGTTACTAATAATGGTCTGACATTGATCAATTCATGATTTCAACTATGAAATTAATACAATCTCAACAAATCCTCTTCATCAATGAGTTCTGTCATAAAAGACAATCTGACGTAGATATAGGCGGTAAACTTAAAGTTGAGCAGCATAAAACACCGTTGGTAAGTAATTTGAAAAGTCAGTCAGTTACATCGCAGAACTTAGTACGTACTTACATTATTCCAAATTGCCAGTAACACATTAACACAGAGCGAAAAAAAATCAAATTGTCAAGCCAAATCCCAGATTGGTAATGGAAAAGATTAGGCTTACTTACTTACTTACGCCTGTTATCCCCAATGGAGCATAGGCCGCCCACCAGTTTTCTCCAACCAAAAAATTCACTGATGCCGAGCACCTCGAGGTTGTATCTTTTCATTTCTGCCGCAACTTGAAATAGTCTTCCAGTCTCCCACAATGTACGAACGTTCCATGTACCTAAAAAAAATGGTTGCTCTGGTTGTCAGAAGAGGCATCGGCCCCGTGACTTCCGAGGGAACTCGGCTTTCATCACGCGACGTCATAATTCTTCTTCCAACTCCCAGGGCAGAGTTAAAATGGTTTGAATTATTTTTTCTGGTCAGCGTCTTTTTGGCAAGTTAGATTTCGATGGAATGGGGTCACCAACCCCATGTCCAACCCTCCTCCTTTATCCGGGCTTGGGACCGGCAGTAGCCCCGAAGGTTCTACTGGCGGAGTTAAAAAGATTAGGCATCGAAAATCAAATCCGAAAGCAATATAAATCAGCGAAATAAATTTATCGAGTATTAGGATAGTCATCTAATATCCTAAGAGAATTTTATTGGTCAATTCCTATTGGTTAATTCCTGCTGGTCAATACTATAGTCGTCCTTGATATCAATGTCACGTGCCTCGATGTTGTTTCCTATTGGTCTTTCCTAACTGTCAATGTCATAGACTTCAATGTTGTTTCCTGTTCGACCTAACTGCACAAATACGCACTATTTGTCATGTTTTATGACTTGGACCCAGATCCCTAGTCTGGGATTTTGATTCTCTTCTGGACTCGAACCTCGTACTTTCTAGATGCTTGTAGAATACATGTTCTACTTCATATCAAGCCTTCTTGTTTACTCAATGGGCTTTTTGGGACAATTGGATTAGACTAGCATGTCATGTCGCCAGATCCTCGATCCTCACTCTCGTTTACTGACTAAGGTAAACTTCGTAATAGTTCAAGCTTATCAAATGACAAGATTACGTGCATGCATAACATAGAGACAAAAAGCCTATAAGGAATTCGATAGTTTAGAATTTACTAGAAGTCAGGGAATGGATGCATCTGTGCCATTGCACACGATTTTGAGCCATGTCATTCAAAATCTTTGAGTAGTAGTTATGGACCTGAACCAGGTAGTCTACACACACATGTCTCAGTCCATTTGTCGATAGCTTGAGGGACCTGTGTCATGTTTTTGGTTCGGCCGCCCTTAGCTTTCATCCAGTCTACTCCTATAACAGGCAGCCTCACTTATCGAGGAAGTTAGTGACTGGGCAGACGTAACATATGTTCCAACCACTTTAGTTGATACAAATTCACTACTTCATCAATGAATTTGCCATCCTTACTGTGTCCTCTTTTCTTAACCCCAGCATTGTACACTCGACGGTCTCAAAATATACCAGAAATGCTTCGATTATAAGTTACCTACGAATGTCTCCGCTTCTTAATGACCGTGCTTCACTTCAATACTAGTTAAGTAGAACTGAGCGCGCCCTGCTGCATATCCGATATTCCTACTGTATTTATTTGTTGCATCTATGATTTAACTTATTTTATTCCCAATATTTTTCCTATTTTTCTCTTCTTAACTTCCCCCCCCACCCATTAGTGTAATTTACCAATCGAAAATCATCCATCATCTGATGTAGCTATTCGTAGTGTAGTACGTAGTTTAACTGAACGTTTCTATGCATTAAATTATCATCATCAAAATGAATTGAGACAACGTCATTGTAAACGGAAAACACTACCACATCATGATCATCATCGAGCGGAGACAATGTTTCAATCAACAGCCATAAACAATTGTGTTGTTACTAGTACTATCAGTTCTCCAACAACAACTACTAGTACTACTACTAGTAGTACTGAAACAACTGGTGTCGATCTCATCATCTCTACTACTAGTACTACTACTACTACTACTACTACCGCCACTACGACTAATGCAGAAGAAGACGAAGGCGGACGAGGAGGAGGAGGAGGAAGAGAAGATGATGAGGAAAAAGCGACAACACCTACTTCATCGACTATCAATAGTGATAATGCTGAGAATAATAAAACATCTTCAAACAATTGTAGTCCATCAACATTTTTAACCAGTCTATTAGTTGCACAACGTGTTAAACGTAATTTAACTTTGAAAAATAAAGTAAGTTATTGAGTTCAATCTTGTTCAATCTTGTTTTGTTTTTTCGTATTTTATGTGTTACGTGTATGCTTCCAATCATCGACTGCCGCCCGATGATGCAGGAGTAGACTGGAAGAAAATCAGAGGTGGCCAGAGCAAAACAGGGTGTAGTGAGTTACTCAGTAAAATCGGAAAACCATATCGTAAATGGTTAACTTGCAAATTTTCAATCCACTGTCTGACATTTCACTATTCATGCGTTTCATACAAATTCCATCGTGTTCTTCTAACTCTTCCTTTCTTGATCTTCCTCCATCTTCTGCAGCCAGACATTACATTTTCACTCACGTCATATACTGCTTATAAGTAGCTCGCACCACAAGAGCACAAATCGTTGAAGTCACTGACAACTGGACTGAGTCATGTTGGTAGGTAGGTGTAGACTACTTGTTTGGGGTCCGCGAAGCAGTAGTAACTGATGTCTGAAAATCGTTTGCAATAGCGCAGGTGCATTCATTCTTTGGTGTTCTCTCAAATTCTAATCTTCTGAATTCCTCATGACCTTCATTTTTTCTCTTGTCAAATTTATTTCACTGGATTATATTTCTAGAATAATATCTTTGGACCTTAATCTTTTTTTGATTACTGCTAATACTTCTACTACCTCCACCACTGTAGGATTGGGATTGACAGTTGCATCTGTGTGTGCTAATTTGGTATGGCAACTTGAACTGATGTACGTACGTACATACGTACGTAACCCTTGATCTCCACTGGTCACGGATTCTTTATAGTGCACACTTGGTTGTCAAAAGTCAGTGAGTTAGTTAGTCAGTTACAACGCAGAACTTCGTATGTAAGTAGATCAGTTCAGGTTGCCATACCACATCAGCACAGAGACGCAGATGTCAATTCAAATCCAAGAGTGATAGCGATAGTAGAAGTATTAGCGGTAACGGAGAAGATTAGAGTTCAAAGATATTATTCAGAAGTATAATTCGGTGAAATAAATTTAGAAAGAGAAAGATTGAGGTGATGAGGAATTCATAAGATTAGGATTTGAGAGAGCATAACGAATGGATGCACTTGCGCCATTGCAAACGATTTAGAGGCATGTCATTCAAGGTCTCTAACCATCGGTGACTTTCGTCTCGCGTACCCCAACCAGGTAGCCTACATCTACCAACATGACTCAGTCCACTTGTCAGTGACTTCATGGATTTCTGCCATGCTTTTGTCTGGCCACCCCTAGCTTTCTTCCAACCTACTCCTACACCACAAAACAAAGCTCGTCGAGGCAGTCGGTGGTTAAGCATACACAGCACGTGTCCCAACCATCTCAAATGATGAAGCTTCAAAACTTCATCTATTGATCTGCCATCCCTGCTTAGGATTCGTTTCCTCAAAACAGCGTTACTCACTCGGTTGTCCCAGGATATACTAGCAACGCTTTGGAGAAGCCTATGATCGAAAACCAGTAACTTACGAATATCTTCTACTCAAACCGACCACATTTCGCAACTATAAAATAGGACTGAGTGAAATGTCCCACAGTAGACTCATCATTTGTTTAGTTAATGGAAGCCTCGCCTACACCATAAGTGACGCAAGTTGGCAAAAGGCCAGTTGAACCTTCTGTATCCATGCTAAGATTTTGGTTATGAATCCGTGTATCTATTAATTTTGTCCCCTTCTACTTGATCTTCCAGTTTTCTCTTTTCTCTACTTTTTAAGCATGCTCGTCGATTGAAAGCAGTTGCATTTGAATGTGGCAGCCGATCCCCCAGTGAAAAATCTATCATTCATGATGATGACGATGACGATCACAGTCATACCGATGAACGCTTCAATGCAATCACAGCATTATCATGTAATGATTTGCCTTCTTCACCATCAATTCATAGTCATATTTCGGATATTTCTTCTGATCAACTATCATCATCATCATCGTCTGTTAGAAATCGACGACGTAATTTCTGGTCAAATTGTCAAAATACTAATCGTCATACAATTAAACGTTTAAAATTACAATTTAAACGTAAAATGACCACATCATCACATCGTCAACGGAAAATCAATCTTGATAATAATAATAACGATGATGATAATAGTCATAGTTCAACATTATTGACGAATAATTTAATGAAAATTCGACGATTTACTTGTAATCAATGTTCTGCAGTGTTTCGTTTATCATCTCGTTTACGAGTAAGCAATCATATGTGTCTTTCAATCATACAAATCATTGAATTTTGTGAGTAGTATGTGAGATACCTGTTAGAGTGAGTGTGAAATTAAAGGAAGTGGTTTTATTATTTGAGGGGTCACTCCTTGAACATTTGATCTACATACAGATCAATAAGAGAAGAAGTATTGAAACTTGATCAGTTGAGGTGGTTGAGATATGTGTTGCGTGTTTCCAGCCATCGACTGCTTCGACGAGTTCTGTTTTGTGATATAGTAGGAGTAAGTTGGAAGAAACGTAGGTTCGGTCAAACCGAAACATTGTACGAATTCATGAAGTCACTGGCAAGTGGACTGGGTCATGTTGGTAGATGTAGGCTACCTAGTTGAGGTTGGCGAGAGGATAGTAATCATTGGTTAGAGATCATGAATGACATGACTCAAAATTGTTTGCAATGGCACAGGTGTATGCACCCTGTGTATTCTCTCAATTTCTAATCTTATTGTTAGTGGGACATAGATGGAATTAAAGCATGACTACATTGCTACGCGCTGATTGGCTAATTTCCTATCCAATCGGCGCCTGATCGGATCTCGGAGAGCAGGGTAGAAGATTCTCATATTGTTAGCTGCGTGCTGATTGGTTAAATCTAATTCAGTCGATCACATGAATTTCTACCTAGAAGCTTGTCATGTAAATGCTATAAATAGACTAACGTTGTATCTATTTTTGCCTTCTTCGCCTTCGCCATCACATTTGGCTTCTTATTTCCATTTAACCATGCTATTTGGAATATAATCTTTTCCTGTTCCACCGTGTTTTTGATTCTTTGGAACTTGTCCAGTGTATTGTGGTCAGAGTATACTAAGCATTAGGAATTAGCTGGGATTTATCTAAGCAAGCGTTACAACACTTATGAATTCCTCATCATCTCTATCTTTTTTTTTCTAAAGTTATCTCACTGAAGTATACTTCTCGAATCATATGCTTGAACCCTAATCTTCTCGATTACCGCTAATAGTTTTACTATTTGTACCGCTACGGGATTTCGAACTGACAGTTGCCTCTCAGTGCTAATTTGGTATTCCCACAGGAACTTATGTACATACGAACGAAGTTCTCCGTTGGTAACTGACTGACCGACCTACACGTTAAAATACCACAAGGCACTGGAGCAATAACATAAGGAGATGCAATTCCATGATAACTGGTGATCAATAATAAGTTCATATGCTGTTTGTTTCCTCAGGATGGTCGAACCCACATGCATGATTAGTTTAGAATGAAGGTTTCTCAAATCCTCTAGTTGGATCTTCTGTATCCATCAACCTGGTTTAAACCCTAGTCGAACATTCGCTTTTCGTTCTATTAATTGCATTAATTACACCTGAGTAGCACTTTCCTGACAGTTTCCATTTTCGCTTAATCGTATGACATCATTGGATAGCTGTTTCGTCATTGTGAATCACATCCACCACACTGATACATTTTTGCTCTCTGCGTAAATGCATTTCGATAACCGATCCAGGCCAACTTCTTGCCTTCGTTAGGGGTCTAGACATGACATACTAGCGTATGTTAAGTTCGATTGAATTTTCTTCCAATCCAACATGTTTTTTCTGTTTTTATTTATACTACTTATTAATATTCAGTAACCAGTTGCATCCCTAACAATTTCTAACCTTGCTGGTGTAGCTTTATTTATTACGTAACATTCTGAAGCATTCACGTACACTTTTAATGTTTACTATACTTATTATGATAATTACTTTCTTGCAACTGTTATTCTCAGTTTTGTAAGTTCCTCTAACCTTTGCTTCAATGTAACAGATACTATGTTTATGTGCGCTTTGCTCCCATCTGATCGTTGTCAACGTTACATGAAACATTCATGATTTCAGCGTGTAAAATCAACGATTTCCATAATACTTTAAAGCAAAAAAAAATTAAAAATGTGCTCACTAGTAACTAGCTTCGTGAGGAAATTCTCGTAGTTCTGGTGATAAGACGTGACCAGTGGAGTTCAGCCTTGCCGGGTGTAGGCAGTGACTACCGAAGGCAGTGGATGAGGTTGCACAAAATCCTTAGATTGATGAGAGTTAAACAGTAACACTGTTGGATGCCAGCCGACTCAGTGGTCCAGAGGTTAGGCTTTTGCGCGCAAGACCGAAGGTCCTGGATCGTGGAGGCGCATCGCTGAAGAGTCCCATACCAGGACGAGACGGCTGTTCTTCAGTGCTTCCAGGTTTTTAATGGTGGTCTAACAATGATTGAGTGTGTAAGAAAAATAAAAGGTTATACTGGACAAAAGTTGACAGAAAAGAGGAAAAAAGCAATGCATCACAGCCCTGAGGAAAATCCCTCGATATTACCAGGATAGGGTTAGTGTAATTGCAAACTGTTTTTAAACATACAGTAGCGGTCAAACTTAATTATAGCTAAGGTTGTTTAACGCATCTCTGAACGGGTTAGGGTGATATTGATGAACTTTTCAATGTCAGAAGCGTTGTAGGTCTCAAGTAGAATTTAGCTCATTTACCAATTACTAATGTTGTGTATTCAACTTTCTGTTACCCTATTCTCATACATATGTGTCAGGTTAAGTGATTCTAAGCGATCATGTGTTTTAGTCGAATCTAAAGTCAACTAGCAATGGAGTTTGTAAGTTTCAGTAGTGAATATGCATGTCCACTGCTTGACATGGTTGAAAATTTGAAGACAGTGAAGACACTCAACAAAACAACTAATGGACTGACTACTCAGGTGGATGACAAACAACGACAGGTTTAAAGTCAACAACAACCGATCAAGATCGAGGTTAGCAGAACAAGCTACAGATCAAACGTGGAGAAATTCGAATACTTCACTTCTTCTATCTGAAGTTTGTGCTGAGGATGTTGTTCAGTGTGAGAATAATCAAAGCTCCACAACCAAAACAACCAGCTCAGAGAACGAAACACTACCACAGGAGTTATCTCCTCCATAAGTTACACTCATGTTGAGATAATGTTAACCTATGTAGAAATGCTTACTTGTTATTTCTTTCGGCTACTTTCTCTCTCAGATGTTGATGAAATGTAATCAATATATTTGAGGCTAAAAAAGAAACCCGTAATCATTTAGAATTATGGTAAAGAGTAAACAATCTACCTGTATTGATTTTAAGTAGTCCAAAAAACAGTAGATAGGAAATGTGAACTTAGGCTTTACGCTAAATTACAATGATCATCATAATGTACTTGTAGCCAAAAAAGAAAGTCACAATTCGTGCTGGCCATCAAATGCTCTAGTGCATCTGAGAGTGGGAAATGTCCTCACTTGCTATCTCGAAATGCTCTTGTATCACCGTGTGTATGTAGCCACTGTCATGGAAGTCCCGTTCATTGCATTCTCTTGATACAAGTGTGATTTACGAATTCGAGAGGATGAAAAACAAGTGTCTGGCACTTTAACCGGTTCGATGCGCACAGATGTTCCAACTAGGGGAGTTAGAAAATCCCCTTTCCAAACTAACAGTGCATATAGACTCAAGCATCCTGATGGAACGGATGGCGTATTGTTAGCCACGGGGTACCTTAGAACTAAATCTCTCTATGTTACTCCACTGCCTTGCAGATTAGATGTCTAGGTGAACTGCTCGAGAAATAGTTCTCCAATAAAACCACTTGTTTCTTTCTGTCCGCCCATTCAGTATCAATAATTTATGTGGCGTACAAACATTCGACGACCCGTTGAATCAGTGTTTATGTATTCAAATCAATAAATAACGAATCCCATGAGATTTGAATCTGTCAGTCAGTCAGTCAGATGCAACGTAGCAATTCGTACGTACGTACATTAGTTCATGTCGCCATACCACATCAGCACAGAGATATAATTGTCAATTCAAATCCAATAGTAGTAGAGGTAGTAAAGGTATTAGAAGTAATCGGAGAGGTTAGGATTAGAAGATATTATTCAAGAAACATGATTCAGTGAGAAAAGTTTAGAAAGTCAAAACTAGAGTTGTTGAAGAATCCAGAAGATTAGGATTTGAGAGAACACAGAGAATAAATGCATCGGCGCCATTGCGAGCGATTTTGAGCCATGTCATTCAAGGTCTCTAACCATCGATTATTGTCATCTCGCGGACCACAACCAGGTAGTCGACAATTACCGGCTTGACTAAGTCCACTTGTCAATGATTTCATGGATTTGTGCCATGTTTTGGTTTGGCTGCCCCTAACTTTCTTCCAACCTACTCCTACACCACAAAACAAAGCTGGTCGAGGCAGTCGGTGGTTAGGGGCATATGTCATGTCCGATTTGAATCTGTATAATTCAATGTTTGATTCTGTAAAATTTTACTGTTTTTTTGAACTATTCGAATCATACGTGTTCTCATTGTTTGTTTGATATTGATTTCTCTCTATAGGCACATTATCTATTTCAACATGGTCATATTCCTGAATGTCTTGGCGGTTTATCACCGCGACCAAATGAAATTTTATTCAAGAAACAACGAAATCTGAACTTGAGTCGTAGTAACAATGACATCAGTTTTGATAACAATGATGAAAGAACAAATTCATCTTCTTTGAAGAATACTACTCCAGCGCCTGAAACCACTACATCTGCTACTACTACTACTACCAGTAGTACTCCGACATCGACGCCGACGGTCACTTCCAGCTTGGCATCGTCATGTGTCCCTAATGAATCCGATCATAGTCTTCCTCCTCCTTCTGGATTAATGACAAGATCAAGGAAACGTAAAGCTGTTAGTGATAATAATAATACTAGTAATAACGTAACTATTCAGTCATCTAACCAATTAACTCATAATACACGACGAATGAAAAAACCAACTAGCGATCCTGTTACAACGAATTCTGTAACTACTACTAATGAAGATAGACTTATTGATTTTGTAAGTGCAAATCAAATCCAATATATAAACATGAATGTCATTTTTTCTCTATTCGAAGCAACATTTTTTAGTATGTCAGGTAAAGATGATGAAAATACTACTTAATTTCGAGCTGGTTAGTAGTAAGTGGAATAAAATGTCACTTTTTCATTCTTGCCAAATTGCTTTATTTATATGATAGGGTTGTGAAGAATGTTGAGTTATTCTGTTTTTGAAATCAGTGAATCGATCACTGTAGGACCAGTGATTATAAACCTGGAAGCAGTGAAAAACGGCCGTTTCGTCCTGGTACGGGACGCATCAGCAGTGACCAGTTGGAGTTCAACTCTATGTAGGTGTGAAGTAATGTGCTCACCGAAGACAGTGGATGAGGTTGCGCAAGACAGTTGTAGATTGGTTGAAGTTAGGAATGAACATCGTTAGATATCGGCCCACTGGTCCAGAGCTTAGGTGTTCGTGCGTCCTGGGTTTGAATATTTCGAGTTATGAGAGTTGTGGATACGCAATGCGGATGAGTCCTGAACCAGGACGAAAGGCAGTCCAGTGATTTTAAGGTTATTATACTAGTCTAACAGTGATCAATTCATGATTCCAAAACGTCAATAGCTTTATCTATCCATGAATTAATAACAGGTGGTTTTTAGCAAGAGATCTTTTACTATTTCTTAAATGTCCCGATATAGCTGAGAGAGTTAGCAGAGACTTCTCTCTTACTCTCGAAACGGTCTCATATAACTATACATATCGAAACTTTCAGGTAAATGGTACTCATTACTTTCTCACGAGGGAGGGATGTTGTTTACAAAATTGAGAAGACGGAGTTGGTGATTGCGGATGATATATGTAGACAGGAGTTGCAAAACTCTGCTTTCAAACCAATAGTGTACATAGGCTCAAGTATCCTGACGGAACGAATGGCGTATTGTTAGTCACCGGCAACCATGGAACTGCATCTCTCGGTGTTGCTCCTCAGATCTGTAGGTCGAAGGCTCTACGTCTAATAAAACCACTTGTTTTAATTTGAGCCCCGGGACAGAGTACTCCAACGCACACATTAATTCAATTATTTGATTGGCGCTTATACATTCTGTTGTCTATTTCTGTGAATGATAATGTATCTCAATATAATTGGTTAGAAATAGATAGAATATAAATAGCAGTTGAATTGGAGACCTGCTGCTGCTGAGACTGCTGCTACACTGGCCGTATTCTCTTACGTTTGTTGTTGTCTGTGATTACGTAACCAACTACTCATAATAGGTAAAGGTACTAGTTGATATTAGGAGCACAGACGATAAGAGTAGTGATAAAAATAACAAACGTGGTAAGCAATAGTTTGATATTGGAAGAGTAGTAGATCAAACTTGAATAAATAAACCGATGGTAAGGCGTTCGCCTACAATGCCAAAGGTCTCGGGTTCGAATCCTGCGAGGAGCAGGAGTCGTGGATGCGCATTGCTGATGAGTCCCATACCAGGACGAAACGGCCGTCCAGTGCTTCCAGGTTTCTAATGGTGTTCTAGCGATGATTGATTGATGATTTCAAATGTGTAAACATGCAAACCTCCAAACCTGTGCCCCAAAAAAAATAATAATCACAATGCTCTATAAAGATTACGTAATCAGAACAGTGTGTAAATAATTATATAGTGAAGTAGGTGGTTTTATTAGTGATGTGCTCATCAAGAATTTTCCGAGTGGGAACTGTAATCTCAAGGTCAACTGAGCAACTTACGCGCGAAAACATAGAAAATCCGAAATTAGGACCTTTTTCAATTGAGTTCTGGGGATCTTATGTCCCCAAGAATTAGAGAACCACTCCTCAAGTCTTTCGCCTACAGATCAAATCCACAAGGCTGTTGAGCAATATCAAGAGATGCAATTCCACGGCAGCTGGTGGTCAATAGTAGGTTCATACGTCATTCGTTCCGTTATGATCCTTAAGCCTCTCTATGCATTATTGGTCCCTCCTTGCTCACCAATCGGTTAAAGTAGCGGGTCGCCGTCTTTTCATTCTCTCACTTCCGTAAACTATACTCTCGCCATGAGAAGGTGGTGAGTAGAATTTCTCTGATTAGACGCAGTAGTGACACTTCATCAGTTGAGGTGGTTGGGACATGTGTTGCGTATGCCCAAACACTTACTGCCTCGTCGAGCTTTGTTTTGTAGTCTAGGAATAGGTTGGAAGGAAGTTAGGGGCGGCCAAATCAAAACATGGTAAAAATCCATGAAGTCATTGACGAATGGACTTAGCCATGTCGGTAATTGTCGACTACTTGGTTGCGGTCCGCGAGACGATAATAATCGATGGTTAGAGACCCTGAATGACATGGCTTAAAACCGTTTGCAGTGGCGCCAGTGCATTTATTCCTTTAGTTCTCTCAAATCCTAATCTTCTGGATTCTTCAACACCTCTTGTTTTGTCCTTCTAAGCTTATCTCACTGAATCATACTTCTTGAATAATATCTTCTAATCCTAACCTTTCCGATTACTTCTAATACCTTTACTACCTCTCCTACTATTGGATTTGAATTGACAATTACGTCTCTCTGTGCTGATGTGGTATGGCGACATGAACTGATGTACTTACGTTCGAAGGAAGTTCTACGTTGCATCTCACTGACTGAGAATTTCTCTGATAATAGCTATACACAAGTGACTCTAATCTTCTTCATTACCACTGATACTCTTACTATCTCTAACACCGCGGTATTTCAACTGACAATGGCATCTCTATGCTAATATGGTGGTATGTCAACCTGAACTTATTTACATTCGTACAACGTGTTACGTTCTATCTAACTAACTGACTCACTGACTGACAGAGCATAGAAATAGCATTTAGCGAGAGAGAGAGAGAGAGAGATAGAGCGAGGCCGAACGTTCTCCGTACTTTCCTCTGAGATCTTATAATTTTTATATGTTGTTTATGCCTAAATTTTCGCATCATAAAAATCTTTACTTTTTATATTTATTTTCCTTTCTTCTAGTTATCTGACCATTCAAACAGCACTGAACAAGTAGTTGTTACACAACAATTTTCTATGACTGATACAAATTTATTTTATAAAAAATTTTCTTGTCTTGAATGTAATCAATCATTTAAAACGGCTTATAATTTAAAACGTCATCAAACTATTATACATTTACATAAATATCGTTATTTTTGTGGTTATTGTGAATATCGTACTGGTGAACGTTTAGCTTATGAAGAACATTTAGCAAGACATTTTTGTATTAAACAATTTCTATGTGAAGTAAGTGTTTGTGACGTTGTTTTTTTGGTGGTTGTTTGTATTTGTCTTTGGGTTTTGGTTTTGAACATGTTTAATGAATGCCTAACCACTGACTGCCTCAGTCAGTGATGCTGCCTAGTGTAGGTGGTGGGTTGGAAGAAAGCTAGGGGTGGTCAGACCAAAACATGGCACAAATTCATGAACTGATTGACAAGTGGATTGAGTCATGTCGGTAGTTGTCGACTAGCTGGTTGGAGTCCGTGAGATGATAATAACCGATGATTAGGGACCATGAATAACATGACTCAAAACTGTTTGCAATGGGGGCCGGTGCATTTATCCTTTGTGTTCTCTCAAATCCTAATCTTGTGGATTCACAGTGTAACTTTCATTTATAGATACACATTTAAACAAATATTTAGATGATTTAGGCTTTTGAGATGCATAGATTAGTCCAAACAAGGACCATAAACAGCACAAGTCTGACTTAGGGTAAATTCAGTTTTAGGTTCATGCTTAAGATGTTCAACTTTCGATCGATCAACTTTCAATTGCACTCCCCCGAGTGAGCAACGCTGTTATTAGGAAACGGGTTCTAGGTAAGAATGGTAGATCAATAGATGAAGTAATGAAACTTCATCAGTTGGGGTGGTTGGGACATGTGTCGCATATGCTTAACCACCGACTGCCTCGACGAGCTTTGTTTTGTAGTGTAGGAATAGGTTGGAAGAAAGCTAGGGGCGGTCAGACCAAAACATGGCTTAAATCCATGAAGTCAATGACAAGTGAATTGAGTCATGTCGGTAGTTGTCGGCTACTTGGTTGGAGTCCGCGAGATGATAATAATCGATGATTAGAGACCATGAATAACATGACTGAAAATCGTTTGCAATGGCGCCGGTGCATTTATTCTTTGTGTTCTCTCAAATAGTAATCTTCTGGATTCTTCAACACCTCTAGTTTTGTCTTTCTAAACTTATCTCACTGAATCATACTTCTTGAATAATATCTTTTAATCCTAACTTCTCCGATTACTTCTAATACCTTTAATACCTCTACTACTATTGGATTTGTATTGTCAGTTACATCTGTGTGCTAAAGTGGTACGGGAACGTGAACTGATGTACTGACGTACGAAGTTCTACGTTGCGACTGACTGGCTGACTAACTGAGAAACTTTGAATGGTACAGGTGAATCCGTTCTCTGTGTTCTCACAAATTCTAATCTTCGGAATTCCTCATGACGGTTTTTCTCACTCTTTTCCTTAAAAAATTAATTTTTCTGGGATATACCTCCCGAATCATATCGTCGATCACTAATATTTTTGATCACGGCTGATACTTTTACAACCTCTACTAGTATGGGATTTGAATTGACCATACGGTCTCTATGTGCTAATGTGATATGGCAACTTGAACTGATATATGTACGTACGAAGTTCTACAATGTAGCTGACTTGATCCTCCTAGAGATAATGTCGAATGTAGGGAAGTAGTACTTTGTTGGAAATAAAATATGTATGGCCAAACTAAAACATGAAACCAGTTTATGAAGTTACTGGCTGTTGGACTAAACCATGTTAGTACGTGTAGACCATCTTGTTCCGATCCACATGACGATAGTAACCGATGTTTAGAGACCTTAAACGACATGGCTCAAAATCGTTTGTAATGGCGCAGGTGCATCCACTCTTTGTGTTCTATGAAATTCTAATCTCCTAAATTCCACATCACGTCTGTCTTTCTAAAGTTATCTCACTGTGAACTATAATCTATATCTCGCCAACAATTGGAAACTTGGAAGCACTTGAGACGGCCGTTCCGTCCCAGTATGGGACTCATCACCAGCAGTGCGCATCCTCGACCCGATAATCGGAAGTATGAACGCTTAATCTCCAGACCATTGTCTTGGTGTCTCACAGTGTTCATGTCTCATTTGAATCAACCCATGACATTGTGTGACCATATTCTATTGTCTTAAGGACTGTATAATTGTCTCACAGTCGACACAGTTGAATCCCGCTAGTCATAGCTGCTGTATTAGAACAGTAAGAATTCCCTCTTAAAGCTTGTCAGCATAGGAGCATATGATAATTACCAGTATGACACTTGTGGGCATAGTTGAATTTCAAATTTAACTAATCAGTTTTTAAAAAAAAAATTGTGTATTTTATAAATTGATTTCTAAAGTTTATTTTCCCGCCAAAGAATTTTTCAAAATATATTTGATATTATCATGAATCCCCATGTTAATCTATTGACAGTAGAAACACACTTGTTTTTCATCCCTTCTTGTCGAAAAAATCGTTCAAAATAATTCCTCTGATATTTACTTATTCATGAATGTGCTACTCTAGGTCTGTGGGCAAGGTCGTACTGTTGACTAACCGCAGAGGGGTGTGACTGAAGCAGTAAGGTGTTTCCCTCGGACAACCAGCATCTGCAGCGATGCTGCCTTCTCACACGGAAGGAAGGGTTAGAAAAGGTCGACCCAAAAAATGTCACACCTCATCTTACCTCAGTGATATCCGTCTCCGGCAGTAAGGGCTGCCTAATTAAGGCTTTTAAAAAGAGCGGAGCTAATACTCAAAAAGCCTTTCATAAAAAGGCCGTGCGTGACTGAGCTCAAGCAGTTGTCCCTTGGAATCTACGGTCACTCTCACAGGTCTCTAAGACCGACTCTAATCTACCTTCATTTTCAGGTTCCTCAATAAACACCCTCACACTGTGTGGGCAACCGGGAAGTGACAACCGCGCTGCTACCCGTAACAACACACGAGACCGAATCGGTCATAATCAAATCCTTAGTTATGTCTGTTAGCCCTAATTGGAGCATAGGCTGTCGACCGACATTCTCCAACCTACTCTGTCCTGCGCCTTCATTTCCTGTTCTATTCAATGGGGGTATACATTCCTTTGGTGTCTGCTTCCAATGTTCGGCGTAGTGTGTTCATTGGTTTTCCTCTTTTCCTTTTACCTTGAGGCTTTTCAAGTTATGGCTTGTCTTGTGACACAGTTAGGTGATTTCTTTAAACGTGTATCTTATCCACTTGCAGCGCCATTTACTTATTTCTTCGTCTGCTGGAATCTGGTTTGCTGACAGTGTCTGGCCAACGGATCTTCAGTATCTTGCTTGGACACAAATGTTGACATTCGCGGTTCTCCAACTTTTAGCTCCATACAGTAGAACTACTATCTTGACATTTGTATTGAAAATTCTAATTTGGTTGGTTGGTTGATAGTCCCAAACGTTCTTCGATTGAAGAAATGCTGTCCTCTCCTTGCCGATCCACGCCTACACATCTGCATCAAATCCACCTTGCTCATCAATAATGATTCTGCCTAAATAATATGTAAAGGTTTTTTTTACATCTTTCCAAAGCTTCTCTGTCAAGTGTGATTTGGTTGGTGCATGTTATTGTTATGTCGTTACGGAGGATCTTGCTTTTCCCTTATCCCGTCTATTGAGACGTACTGCTACAGTGGCTGCTGCGGTTACACTATTCATCTTCTCTTGTATTTATTTCTTACTTACTTACGCCTGTTACCCCCAATGGAGCATAGGCCGACCACTAGTTTTCTCCAACCAACTCTGTCCTGGGCTTCCCTTTCCAGTTCTGTCCAATGTTTGTTCATTCCTCTCATATCTTTCTTTATTTCTCGGCGTAATGTGTTCCTTGGCCTTCCTCTTTTCCTTTTGCCTTCAGGGTTCCAGATGAGGGCTTGTCTTGTGATGCAGTTAGGTGCTTTACGCAGTCTGTGTCCTATCCACCAACTCCACCACTTCTTCCTGATTTCCTCCTCCACAGGAATCTGGTTTGTTCTCTCCCACAGTACATTGTTGCGGATGGTGTCTGGATCAACGAATCCGAAGTATTTTGCGTAGACAACTGTTCATAAACACTTGTATCTTCTGGATGATGGCTTTCGTAGTTCTCCAAGTTTCCGCTCCATACAATAGAACTTTCTTAACACTTGTATTGAAAATCCTGATTTTGGTTTTCATCACGTGACGTCACAATTCTTCTTCCAACTGCCAGGGCAGAGTTAAAATGTTTTGGATTAGTTTTTTCTGGTTAGCGTTTTTTTTGGCAAGTTAGATTTCGACGGAATGAGGTCGCCAACCTCATGTCCAACCCTCCTTTCTTTATCCGGGCTTGGGACTGGCAGTAGCCCCCAAGGTTCTACTGGCCGAGTTTTGTATTTCTTTCAGTGTACTTTGTATCTTTTATTCTCAAATCACATTTTCTGAATTGGTCAATGAATCTCTAATTTGTATTGTTTCACAGATATGTAATGCACGTTTCACGATCAAACATGAATTAGACGATCATAAAGCGTTTAAACATTCGAATGAACGTAATTTCGCTTGTACTGAATGTGATCAACGATTTAAAGTGAGTCCTAATGGAATTGAATTAGTTGACGTCTAATTTTTTTTCTGAAAATACTTTTATTATGGGAATCGAATTATAAATGTGCACCACAGACACACATATCATTGAATATCTCTGTATGAGATGAGATCCTGTGTCCGTCTGTTCGACTTACAGTTCTGGTTCACAAAAGAATTGAACAACATCATGGTTGTGGGTTATCAACAATATCGGTTCATACGTCTCTTTACTGTCTAAGGATCCGAGAACCTGTGATCCTCATTGGTTCAGGATCAAGGCTTTTCGCAACTCGTCTAGGCAGATTATCTGTAGCTACCAGCCTGGGTTAAGCCGCAGAGCTCTGGACATTCATTTTTTTTTAGTTTGTGGTGACCGATCTCGACGTGTTCTTAAGCTTCGTAATTAGCTCGTCCAGACAATTGTTACTAACTAGCGTCTTACGGTTTATAAATTAGAAGGTGAACGCAAAGTGTGTTGAATACGTTTATTCTCGACACATCACAAATTGAACAGCAGACTACAAGTGCTAAAAGATAAAATCGTCATGCGAGCGCTGGAAAGCAGGCAAGCGAGTGAATAGGCGAATGAATTAACGGATGAAGCGATGTGGAGAAGGGTAGTGAGCCAACTCCAACAGATAAAGCATGACTAAGAATTTATAGTGAGACAAAAATAAGACAGACATGTGACCAACGAGATAGGCATGAACACACACATAAATACAAGCGACGAATAAGTGACATGGTCAAGAGACAAGTGGGTTAAGTCATGTGAGCTAGACATTGAATGACTCACTATACAAGTCCTCTCAATTTTCGTAAACAACTTCGCGGCTAGGAGAAGGCAGTGCTTTGAACGTGCCTGCTAGTGGTTATACTTGTTTGGGTGTTTAGCAACCTCGTATTTTCTGGGTGCATGTAGAATATATTGTCTATGCCTTATCAAGACTACTTGCTCTAGTTAAACATGGCCTTGGGACAATCGGATTAGATTAGCCTATCGTATCGTTAATCTGCGTTCTGCTTACCGAGTAAGGTGAAATCGTAATAGCCGCAAGCATATTAAACATTTACTGGTTAAGTAATTTATATAAAGCGAAGATGTAGTATGAGATTGTATCATTTAATGACAAAGAGTTTCAGAAGCTCTACAGCTTTAAGTTCTTGTGTATCGAACTGTTTGCGACACTGGATGTAAGTGATAGTTTACGAAGTATTCCATAAAGGATCAAGTCGAAGTTTATTACATTTGAATTTCACAGTTAAAATACAATCAGTTCCAACAATGTATAAATGTGTAGTGGAAGGTTGTTTCTTGAGGAACCTGAAAAGGAAGATAGATTAATGTCGGTCTTGAAGACCTGGGAGCGTGACCGCAGAGCCCAAGGGACAACTGCTTGAGGCCGGTCACGCACGGCCTTTTTATGAGAAATTTTTTGAGTGTTAGCTCCGCTCTTGAAAGCCCTTAGTGGGAACCCTTACCACCAGAGACGGAAATCCGTGAGGTAGGGTGAGGTGTGACATTTCTAGGGTCGACCTTTTCTAACCCTTCCTTCCGTGTGAGAAGGCAGCATCGCTGTAGATGCTGGTTGTCCGAGGGAAACACCTTACTGCTGCAGTCACACCCCTCTGCAATCAGTCAGCAGTACTACTTTGCCCTCAGACCTTGAGTAGCTGCTTTTAGTCTCATCACTCTCCAATCGACCTGCCTGGCATGGTAGGACCTGCAGAAAAATAAGTTCCAGTCAATATAGCTCGATTGGGTCATGACGATGGGCAAGCCTGACCACCACCACGTCAAGGTAGCAGCTACGGTCGGGGTATAAATGTGTGAATCCTCTCTGAATGGATTCTAGCCTTGATTATCCTTTACGATGGTGCGTACACTACTATGAATAAATAAATGTGCAATATTCTTGAAGTGGTTTAACACCAAATTGTTACGTTGAATTACTTGAGATTACGAATTATGCAACCTAGAAGACGTTGCCAGTTGGTGGTCTGTCTGGATACATTTCCTGAGAAGGACAAATTATAGGAGAATTTAAGTGCCAGAGTCTTCTACTCAATGGAGTTTCAATAACACCTTATTATTTACACAGGTGCAATAAAGGATTACCAAAACTAACTCACTCACATATGGTTTTCATACATATATTTTTGAAATCACGAATCGACCGATGTTAGACCATCATTAGTAAGAAACCTGGAAGCAATGAAAGACGTCTGTTACGTCCTATAGTATGGAACTTATCAGTGGCAGCCAAAGGGTTCGAACCCAGGTCCTTTGGTCTTGTGCACAAACGCCTAACCTCTGCACCACTGACTGAGCCGGTATCTAACGGTGATCAATTTATGGATTTTGCTCAACCTCATCCAGTGTCTTCGGTGAGCACTGCTTGATCACTGAACAAGATTAAACTCCACTGGTTATCACGACTCTTCCACATGACTCGAAGAAACTTCCTCACGAAGCTAGTCACTTGTGAGTACATGATAATTTGTATGATAGGCTTGTAGAGATTGTTGAGTTACTTTTTTTCCCCAAATCATAAATCAATCGAGTGAGTTAGTTTCAGGAGTCGTAGATGCGAACTGCCACTGATGAATCCCATACGAAACGGCCGTCTTTCAGTGCTTCTAGGTCTAAAATCGGAAAAACTGTAACTCAACAATCTCCACATCCATATCATATGCTCACTAGTGAGCAAGTATCGCCGAGTTCTAGTGAAAAGTCGCGTTGAACAGTAGAATTCAACACTGTTCGGCTGGGAAACAGTGCTCACCAAAGACAGTGAATGAAGTTGCGCAAGACTATTGATTGATTGAACTTAAAAATTAACATAGAATTAAACATTCACACTGTTGGACAAGTCCGTCTCAGTGTTCCAGACGTTAGGCATTCGCGCACAAGACCGAAGGTGCTACGTTCGAATCCTGCGAGAAATGGGGATCCTGGAAGTGCACTACCACTGATGAGCTCCATACGACAGGGCAAAACGTTCGTCTTTCAACAGCACTTCCAGATTTCTAATCGTTAGTCTAACATTGATCAATTCGAAAACGAAATTAGCTCAACAATATCTCCACAAGTCAATCATTCAAACATATTGAGTATACATTCTTGAAACCATGAATCGACCAATGTTAGACCACCATTAGAAACCTGGAAGCACTGAAAGTGCGGCCGTTTCGTCCTGGTATGGGACTCCTCAGTGGCAGTGCGCATCCACGACTCCTGTACCCCGCAGGATTCGAACCCAGTATCTTCGGTATTATGCGCGAACGCCTAACCGTTAGACCACTGAGCCGGTGCAGGAGTCGTGGATGCGCACTGCCACTGATGAGTAGTCCCATACCAAGACGAAACGGCCGTCTTTCAGTGCTTCCAGGTTTCTAATGTTGGTAGTCCACTAACATTGATCGATTCATGGTTTCAAAAATGTGTGTAACTTAACACAATCTTCACAACCCCGTAATATTGAGTAGTATAATATAATTACATCTGATATATTATACTTATTCTCTTCATGATATATAATATCTCTCCTATTATCTATCTGCTATTAACAGATTATTTTAACTCTCTAAACGTTTGTTACTCTCAATGTTTTCAAACAAACTTAACGAACCGAGAGAAAAAAACAACAAAACTATAGTGTCTGTCAAACTCACACACACACACGTACACACACGAAAGAAAACAGTGTAAACTAATTTTTCAATTTATTTTATTATTTCGAGAAAATAAAATGAAAATATTTTTCAAATTTTTTTTATTTTAATCCCCTCTTCTCTAACAAACACATGATATATCAGATTTGGCTTGTGTTAGTGAAACAGAGAATGTGAATGTCGCTTTGTAGTGCACGTTGTGCTTATACACTGCCTAACTACCCCGTTGAATTATCACAATGCATCATGTTGTATGTAGGCTGGAATGCAGTGAAAAGAGTAAAATTGTACTATATGTACCTCTGTACCTTAAGTCGATATGTCAATGTTTGTTGGCGTACATGGTAAATGTCTGTTTATATTTGGTAACAGGTAACTATAACTAATGTTGATATGTATATCAAACGTATCATACAACTTATCAATCTTCGTTCTCTCTATCTCGCTCTCTCTGTTTTTGTCATTCTGAGTGATGGACACCGGTGGACCATCCTTTATCATCATCATCATCATCACTATCACTACTCATTAATTCTCACGTTATTTAAGTAGTATATATTTATATAGATAAATAATCATCAGGGTGGTGTCCCTGTTTGTTGCGCGCATGTGTATCAGTGTGTTGTAGTTGTATTTTTTAAATGAGTACTACACATTTATTTATTAATTTTGCACTGATAAGATCCACAGAGAAGGGTGTAGTCGTAAATAATAATGATAATTATTATTATCATTGTAACATTTGTAAAATGATAAATCAATCAGTCAGTTAGTCAATCAGTTAGTGAGCAACCTGGTAGAATTTGGTACGTACCTACATCAGTCCAAGTTGCTATCCAATCACCCTTAAGCACAAAGAGATTTTAGATTGTCAGTTCGAATCTCATAGTGTTAGGGTTAATTAATTTATTTAACCAAGCCAATTTATATGTATCATTCGTTCTTATTATTATCTAGTTTGCATGATGAGCTCACATGACGTGTTCCACTTGTCATTTGACCTTGTCAACTATTCGTCTCTTATTCATGTGTGCCTATTTCGCTTGTCACATGTCTGTCTTATATTTGTCTGACTAAGAACTAGTCAGAACTAGTGGAGGTATTGGAGAAGATTAATGTTCGAAGTAATTATTCAAAATGTATAATCCGGTGAGATTAGTTTAAAATGAGTAAAGCGTCATAAGGATGTGAGATTACAATTTCAGCGAACACAAAGAATGGATGCATCTGTTACGCCATTGCGAGCGATTTTGAGCCATGTCTTTCAAGGTCTCTCGCGCACCTCAACCGGGTAGTCTGTGTCTACTAACATGACTTAGTCCACTTGTCAGTGACTCCATGGTTTTGTGTCATATTTTGGTTCGGCTACCCCTGGCTTTCTACCAACTGTAGTAAAAGTATTAGCGTTAATCGAAAAGATTATGAATAGAAGATATATCGTAGTAGAATCAATTTAAAAACATTCAATAAAGGTCATGAGGAATTCGGGAGATTAAAATTTGAGGGAATTCAAAGAATGGAAGCATCTGTGCCATTTCAAATTATTTTCAACTGTGTCACTTCCTGGCCGTAGTTTGCTATAATGGCTGGAACATATGTTCCTGAAGATTCTACCATGCCAGACAGGTCGATTAGAGAACGATCAGACTAAAAGCAGCTACTCTAGGTCTGAGGGCGAAGTTGTACTGCTGACTGACTGCAGAGGGGTGTGACTGCAGCAGTAATGTGTTTCCCTCGGATAACCAGCACCTGCAGCGATGCTGCCTTCTCATAAGGAAGGAAGGTGTTAGAAAAGGTTGACCTTAAAAATGTCACACCTCACCCTACCTCACAGATTTCCGTCTCCGTCGGTAAGGGCTGTCCAATAAGTCCTTTAAGAGAGCAGAGCTAACACTCAAAAAACCTTTCATGAAGAGGCCGTGTGTAACCGGCCTCAAGCAGTTGTCCCTGGTTCTCTGCGGTCACTCACCCATGTGTCTAAGACGGACACTAATCTACCTTCCTTTTCAGGTTCCTCAAGAAACACCCTTCCACGGTTTGGGCAACCGAAAAGTAACATCCGCCCTCATACCCATACCCATACCTAACTGTGCCACTTAAAGTCTCAAACCACCGATTGTCTCGTGAACCCAAATCAGGTAGTCTACGCCTACTGAAATCGCTCAATCTAGTTGTCTGTACCACGTTTAGTTTTAGCCGCCCCTAGCTTTCTTCCAGCCTACCACTACGTCAAACAACGTCACCTGTCGATGTAGCCAATGTTTGGACATACGTAATACATGTTCCAACCCTCTCAACTGATGAAGTTTCAATACTTCTTCTATTGATCTGCCATCCGTACATAATACTCGTTTCGTAACGACAGCGTTGCTTACTCTGTTGTCCCAGGATACATGAGCAATGCTTTGGAGACACCTATGATCGAATACTAGTAACCTACGAACAACTTCTACTCTTAACGGCCATGTTTCACAGCCATATAGGAGAACGGAGCGAACTGCTGCACAGTACACTCGTCCTTTGGTTAGTGAACGGATATCTCGCCTACGCCATAAACGGCGTAAATTTTCAAAAGCCCATCGAGCTTCCTGCTTTGCCTCTACTGTTTTCTTTCTTATTTCTGTCTGTCTGTACAAGTGAGATTGTCTTGAAGTAAACTCATCCAACCGACTTCGTATATCTGGCTTCTTATTACCATCGTCGCACAGACAGGCTTTTACCTGAGTATGAAATACTTAGAATGAAGGGGGGATTTATTTCATAGCATACTCGAACGTTGGAAATAAATAAGTCATCTCACAGCCTATATGAAGTACTGGTCGTTAATTTCGAGTTCAACGCAGTCACAATTTCAATGATAAACAGCCATCTTCATAACTCTATATAGTGTAAAATATAAATTTTACGAAAGATTAACAATCGATTTCTATAGACTAGTTGTTTTTGGGGACATTATATCCCCAGAACTCACTTAATAAATGCCTTATTTTGGTTTTCACGTTTGCCAGCATGGGTTGATCAGTTGACCATGATATTTCATTTCCGATCCGGAAAATCCATGGCTGTGATTGGCTGCTGTGTATTTTAGTGTGCTATTTTCTTAACTGTCCCAATGACTTTTCTATGATGTATAAATAAACGAGCGTTGTATGCTTGATCGTACTATGATTGCTTGGTGTTTGTAGAATATACTTTCTACGCTTACAAAGCTTTTTTACTCGCTTTGGGGATTCAAGGTAGCCTACCCGGACGCTGGTAAAAGACGAACCCTACAATTTCTATAGACTAGTTGTTGGGGACAATAGGTCCCCGGAACTCACTTGATAAAGGTCCTAATTTTGGATTTCACGTTTTAGCGCATGGGCTGATCAGTTGACCATGAGGCTACATTTCCCAACTGGGAAATCCTTGACTATTATTGGTTGATGTATTATTTTAGTACTCTGTTCTTGTGGCTATTTATCTTGTATAAATAAACTCGATTTGTGTGCTTGTCGACCTCATATTTTCTGGTTGCTTGTAGAATACACTTTTCACGTCTTGTCAAGACTTCCTATTCTTCTACTTAGTGTGACCTTCAGATGCTCAGATTTGAGTAGCCTATGGTGTCACTGGTTCATTTGTCTTCAATTTCGTTTACCGACTACTATGGTGAACTCATCATAGTTTTCAAGCTTATCAATTGATGAGCATTATACACTAGTTAGTGTTCATCTTTGGAATGTTTTGATCAATGTATAAGTTTGAACATTTATAATTATATCAGGCTTTACTTTAATATACATGAATATTTATATGAAAATGTTAAAACCAATCAAGGCAATTTAAGTCAATAATCTCAATGAAATGAAAAAGGCAAAAGTACAAGTGGATAGTAGGAAGACAGGTGAATACTGTTAGTAGTAGGAAAATTTATAAAATATGATAACTAAAGTAGGTCAAAGGTGGATGAATAGAATTCAAATAATCATCAAAAAAACATCAAAACCATTACGTAATAAGCAAATGTATAAAAATAAACATAAAATAAAAAATATAATGTCAATCGTTAGTTACGTCATATCGGGCCACGGAAGAGATAGAAGTGTCAGGAATTTCTTCTGAACACATAAAACGATGTTGAATGTACGTATTCCCATGGCTTCTGCAATGTGTGTAGGAGACGTGATCAAACTCCGTTGGGAAACGACGATGGAGGTATACGATAGATCACCGCCGAAAAGATCTAGATTTATCTACAATGTGACCACCATCTACCAGGTGTGCTAAGATCGGACTGCGTATTGTTTTTGACTGACCCTTGGTAAACCATGCTAGGAGATGTTCACTCATTCATTGGGTAAGTTGCCTGATATAGCTAGCTATCTCCACAGGAACAGCTGAATTTGTGAATGCACATAGAGGAGGCCATATTTTATAAATTTTCCTACTACTATCAGTACACCTCTGTCTTCCTACTATCCACTTATTGTACTTTTGGCCTTTTGCATTTCATTGTGATTATTGACTCATAAATTGCCTTGATTTGGTGTAACATTTTCATACATAAATATTCATGTATATTTGAGAGTAAAAAGCCTGATTGTAGTGAAGGAGAACACAGGTGTGAGGGCAACCGAATTGTATTTAACAAAAATTACAAAGTTACTCAGTAAAATTGGGAAACCATATCGTAAATCGTTAATTTGCAAATTATCAGTTCATCATCCATCGAACTGGACTGTTCTTCTTGCAAAACATCAATCCATTGTCACTCACTATTCATGCGTTTCATACAAATTCCATTGTGTTCTTCTAACTCTTCCCTGTCTTGATCTTCCCCCATCCTCTTCTGCTGCCAGACATTACGTTTTTACTCACGTCATATACTACTTATAAGTAGCTCGCACCACATGATGACAATCTCATCGAAAACAATAATATTGTTCGCTTATCTATCTCTGTTGTTCTAATTTTCACAATGTGGGAATCTTTAATCTTATTAATAATTATTATTGGTTAAACCATTTACTTTTCTTCAATTTTTTTCCAAAAAAGACTGCCGGTACACTTTGGCGACATAAAAAAACTCATGAACCGAAACGTGTTTATCATTTATGCCCAATATGTTCTACATCGTTTACACGTTTATCGAATTTAAATCGTCATCTTGCACGAACACATAAACAGCAACAGCAACGCCAACACCAACAACGGGAGCACCAACAGCACCAACCTCAACAAAATCACCAATCAATCCGGCTGGATACAAATAAGAAATTATCAACAAGTTATCAACATGATGCTAATAAACAGAAAAAATCATCAAAAACCGGTCAACAATATCGTCAAGTTGTCAATCCAACAACAACAACAACAACAACGATGATAAATAATAGTCAACAAACTGTGGAACAAATTTATCCAGTGGAAATTATTACAGTATGTTTTTGTGCGATGGGTTGATTTTTATTTCATAAAGTTGAATAATCATTTTTTTTTTGGTGATCAACTTTGATTGCTGTTATCACAGGGGTTGAAAGTCCCGAACGTAGCTGCTACCTTGACGTGGTGGTGGTGCTGGTCGGGCTTGCCTATCGTGATGATCCAATTGAGCTATATTGACTGGAACTCATGTATGTTCCTGAAGGTTCTACCATGTCAGGCAGGCAGGTCGATTGTAGAACGATGAGACTAAAAGCAGCTACTCAAGGTCTGAGGGCGAAGTCGTACTGCTGACTGACTGAAGATGAGTGTGACTTCATCAGTAAGGTGTTTCCCTCGGACAACCAGCATCTGCAGTGATGCTGCCTTCTCATCACAAGGAAGGAGGGGTTAGAAAAGGTTGACACTAAAAATGTCACACGTCATCCTACCTCACGGATTTCCGTCTCCGGTAGTAAGGGTGCTCACTAAGGGCTTTCAAGAGTGGAACTAACACTCAAAAAACTTCTCAAAAAGGCCGTGCGTGACCGGCCTGAAGCAGTTATCCCTTAGACTCTACGGTCACGCACCCAGGTCTCTAAGACCAACACTAATCTATCTTCCTTTTCAGGTTCCTCTAGAAACAACCTTCCACGGTGTGGGCAGCCGGGAAGTGACAATCGCCCTCATACCCGTAACAGCACACGAGACGAAATTGGTCGTAATCAAATCCTTCCTACACCCAAACACACTTTCGGTCCTGCGTGTGGGGATGCTTTACCTCTCGGTTAACTGACCTGGTGTCCAACAGTGTTCATGTGTAACTTTGATCTTCGATCGACGATATTACTCAACCATCATACGTCATACTCGATACAGTGTGATGAGATTTTCGTGGCCTTGTGGCGTTTTTTACCTGTGTCTCGTATGATTCCATTTACTTACCAAACACAATAAATGAGGTTTCGCCACATAGTGAGTGAATCGATCAACGTTAAACATTAACATTATTGGATGTTGGCCCAGTAGTAGTTCACACATAAAACTAAAGGTCCTGCTTTCGTTTTTCTCGCTTACAGAGTCGTGGATGCATATCGATGTGATTGGTTGACTTAGTCAGTCAGTCAGTCAGTCAATTACAACGTAGAACTTTGTGCGTACGTAAGTACAGTTCAGGTTGCCATATCACATTAACACAGAAATGTTATTGTCAGTTCAAATTCCATACCTGTTAGAGATAGAAGTATTAGCGGTAATGGAGAAGAGAAGGAGTCGAAGAAAGTATCCAAGAAGTATAATTCAGTGAAATAAATTTAGAAAGAGGAAGATAGAGCTGATGAGAAATTCACAAGATTAGAATTTTAAAGAATACAGAAAGTGGATGCACCTGCGCCAATGCAAACAATTTTAAGCCATGTCGTTCATGCCCTCTAACCACCGGATATTATCGTCTCACGGACTACACGACTCATTCCATTTGTCAGTGACTTCATGGATTTCTGCCATGTTTTGGTTTGGCCGCCCCTAGTTTTCTCCCAACCTCCTACTCCTACACTAAAAAACATAGCTCGTTGAGGCAATCGGTGGTTAGGCATACACAACACATCCCAACTACTACAACTGATGAAGTTTTAAATACTTCATCTACTGACTTGCCATCCTTACCTCTAGCACCCGTTTCCTAACGGCAACTTTGCTTACTCTGTTGTCTCAGGATACACTAGCAATGCTCCGGAGACATCGATGAACGAAAACAAGCAACCTATAAATATCTTCTACTCTGACTGGCCATGGGATTGTATTGAATTGTATAGTCTTGAAGTTTTTAAAACTTCAATCTGAATATGATACATATTCACAATGTAACTTTTGTTTAGGTAATGCAAGAGAAATCTTAATTAAATTAGAGATACATATTTCAACAAATATTTAGATGATTTAAGCTTTTTGAGATGCATAGATTAGTCCAAACAAGGACCATAAACAGCGCAAGTCTGACTTAGGGTAAATTCAGTTTTAGGTTCATGCTTAAGATGTTCAACTTTAGATCGATCAACTTTCAATTGCACTCCCCCGAGTGAGCAACGCTGTTATTAGGATACGGGTTCTAGGTAAGAATGGTAGATCAATAGATGAAGTATTGAAACTCCATCAGTTGTCGTGGTTGGGACGTGGTTGCCTCGACGAGCTATGATTTGTGGTGTCGGAGTGGGTTGGAAGAAAGTTAGGGGCGGCCAAACCAAAACATGACACAAAATCCATGAAGTCATTGACAAGTGGACTGAGCCATGTTGGTAGATGTAGGCTACCTGGTGGGGGGTCCGCGAGATGATAATAATCGATGGTTAGAGACCTTGAATGACATGGCTCAAAATCGTTTGCAATGGCGCCGATGCATTGATTCTTTGTGTTCTCTCAAATCCTAATCTTCTGAATTCTTCAACACCTCTACTTTTGACTTTCTAAACTTTTCTCACTGAATCATACTTGAATATCTTCTCATCCTAACCTCTCTGATTCCTTCTAATACCTTTACTACCTCTTCTACTATTGGATTTGAATTGACAATCATATGTCTGTGCTGATTAGGTATGGCAACATGAACTGATGTACTTACGTACGAAGGAAGTTCTACGTTGCATCTGACTGATTGACTGACAATTGCACTCCATCTCTCTTAGTCTAAACAAGTAGATAATATCATTAGCTTGTTATATTTAAAAGCATAGTCCATAATCAATTCCCACAGAGGATGAATTAATTTAATTAAGAAATATTCAGACATCCATTTCATTTTAGTACAATAAACATAGTTTGAATGAAATTCAAAATCTCTTAGCTAGTTACAAAGTTTCTATACTAATGAATGGTCAATTTTATATTGGTTACGCCTATTAGCCTCAATTAAAGCATAGGCTACCGACCAGAATTTTCCAACCAACTATGTCCTGGGCCTTTTTTTTCCAGTTCTAGCCAACTGGTGTTCATTCTCTTCATATCAGTCTCCGATTTTTGGCATAATGTGTTCTTTGGTCTTCCATTTCTCTTTTGTCCTTGAAGATTCCAAGTGGAGGATTGTCTTGTGATGCAGTATGGTGCTTTCCGTAATGGATGTCCTATCCGTCAATTTGATATGCCAGTCCAGTGAATAAGCGTAGGGGCGCTCAAGGCCTGAGGCCTTGGGTTCGATTCCTGCGAGTTGCATGAGTCGTGGATGCGCACTGCTGATGAGTCTCATGTCAGGACGAAACGGCCTTGTTTCAATGCTTCTAATGGTGGTATAGCAAGCATTCATTTTTAATTTCAATGTAGAAAAGACTTTCAGCCATGATTTAAACTAAATTCATGGATGAAACCAATGATGCATAGAATAATTCCATTTGGAATAGTCTGGATTTTATCTCCATTATTTATAGTTTGACTGAAATGCTCATCAGTCTTAGTTTGGGATATGAGGCACCTTATGCAGATTGATTGCCTTGTTATAGTGTAGATGTGGTGACTAACAGTGGAATGTCTAGGACGTATGTCGTAGAGAGATGATGTAGGTGGATCCATCTGATGAGTCCGAAATAGGAGATGAAACGTGCGTATTCTAGATTCCATCGCTACCCACATTCTATCTTACTTACTTACGTCTGTCATCCTCAATGCAGCCTAGGCCGCCGACTAGTTTTCTCCAATATACTCTGTCCAATTTTGTTCATTCTGCTCATCTCTTTCTCGGTGTAGTGTATGAGGGCTTGTCTTTTGAGGCAGTTGGATGCTTTCTTCAGTGTGTGTCCTATCCACTTCCACCGCCTCTTCCTGATTTCCTCCTCCGCTAGAATTTGGTTTGTTCTCTCCCACAATTGGTTGTTGCTGATGGTGTCTGGTCAACGGATCCTAAGTATTCTGCGTAGACAACTGTTCATAAATACTTGTATCTTCTGGATGATGGCTTTGGTAGTTCTCCAAGTTTCCGCTCCATACAGTAGAACTACTATCTTGACAGTTGTATTGAAAATTCTAACTTTGGTGTTGGTTGATTGTCGTTTAGAGTTTCAGATGTTGTTCAATTGTAGAAATGCAGCCCTTGTTTTGCGGATCCACGCTCTCACATCTGCATCAGATCCACCTTGCTCGTCAGTGATGCTGTTCAGATATGTAAAGCTTTTAACGTCCTCCAAGGCATCTCCATAAAGAGTTAACGGACGTAGTTTTGTATCGGACCGACCGTGGATGCTACCTTGACGTGGTGGTCGGGCTTGCCTATCGTGATGACCCAACCGAGCTATACTGGCTGGAACATATGTTCCTAAAGGTTCTACCATGCTAGGCAGGTCGATTGGAGAACGATGAGACTAAAAGCAGCTTCTCAAGGTCTGAGGGCGAAGTCGTTCTGCTGACTGACTTCAGAGAGGTGTGACAACAGTTGGGTGTTTCCCTCGGACAACCAGCACCTGCAGCGATGTTGCCTTGTCACAAGGAAGGAATGTGTTAGAAAAGATCGACCCTGAAAACGTCACACCTTACCCCCACCTCATGGATTTCCGTCTCCGTCGGTAAGGGCTACCCTATAAGGTTTTTTAAAAGAGCGGAGCTAATACTCAAAAAATCTTTCATAAAAAAGCCGTGCGTGACCGGCCTCAAGCAGTTGTCCCTTGGGCTCTGCTTTCACTCACCCAGTTCGTTAAGACCAACACTAATCTACCTTCCTTTTCAGGTCCCTCAAGAAACACCCTTCCATGGTGTAGGCAGCCGGGAGGTGACAACCGCCCTCCTACCCGTAACAGCACACGAGACCAAATTGGTCAAAATCAAATCCTTCTTACACCCCTTAATATCTCTCTTATCTCTACGACTAACTCTAGTCGCATTCCTACAGCTCACTGCACTGCTAATGCAAACGATGCGAGTTCACGAAACGTCGTTCCTGGTTTCCTTAAACTACGTTCTAAACTACATGTTGGAGCATTAAATGTACGGACATTGTGTCGAATAGGGCAACAGGCATCATTAGCTAGGACTTTAGAATCTCGCATCACCGATGTGTGCTGCGTCTCGGAAACGCGCCTACAGGATCCTAGTAAAATCATTAATCTGATTTCACCTTATCAAAATAAAGAAGTATCGGGGAATCATGCTTTTCCGTTTGTGTATGTTGAGACCTACTTCTGCTGAGGCTGTCGTTACACTGGTCGTCTTCTCTTGTGGGTGTGTGTGCGATAGAATAGCCAGATCACATTCTATCGTTACGATATATATATATATTTGCGAGCGAAATAAAAATGTTGATATTTTCTTATTGAATTCATTAAATATCAGGTTTTTGTTTTAATTCACATAATTCGTTGTTTTAATTAACATTGAAAAATAACAGCGCTCAATTCATTTTATACAATTTTGCACCTATCAATATTTAGCCACATTTATCTGGATCCGATCTATCATCCATATCAGATCAACAAACTTTGATCACTATGATCCCAGAACACGACCGGACATCTTCCAAATTGATCAATATTTCTGATCATAATTTCAATAAAAGCATTTTATACAATCCGTCTATTTCAACTTCATGTTGTGACACGCCATCATCATCAACATCAACATCATTGTTGTCGTCGAATATACCGCCAACAACATCAACAACAACAACCACAGAAATCCTGTCAACACAAGATCATGTGATGGTGACCACTGGTGAAGATTCTATTGTTTCAACGCATATCTCAGAATATCAAACAGTGGATCTTGACAATCATTCACATTCTACTGTATTCATGTTAAATTTCACTGATCTCGATACAAACAACCATCTTCATCATCATCATCATCATCATGAGTATTTTGAACCGACTGACGGTTCACATAAACTAATGTTCAGCAGTAACATTCATGATGCTGCTGTGTATGAACAACCGACAGCTGGATTCACATCCACCTCGTCGTCAACTGCTGCATCAAATGGAACATTCATTTCGTCCACATCGTACACATCAGCATCATCTCCGACAATAACTGGAACTAACATTAGTTTACCATCGAATTTATTATTACCGATTCGATTGAATAATACCAATGTGAATTGTGATATTGTCACAAATACTAATACTACTACTAATAATGAAACTAGTAGTAGTATGAGTAGTAATACAAACTCTTGGCCTACCATTATATCACATCACTCAGAACCGAGTCTATGCTATTTGATAACATCCAGTGAAACAATTGAAAATGATGTTTTATTATGCAGTCATAATCATAATAATAATTATACAAATGAAGTCAGTACTACTAATACTACTACTACTACTGTCAGTAGTAGTAGTACTACTAGTACTATTACTACTGTTACTACTAATACTACTGATACTTCTACTCAAATCACTAATCATCATCATCATCATCATCAACATCCTCATAATCTACTGATCACCGATGATGATGATGAAGAAATTATCGACGATCCACCACAATCGATTGCTTCAACAATGGATTTGTTGAATTCATTTCAATCGGATCTAGTCGATCATCATTTAATGTTGAATAATGAGACGACAATGTTGAAAATGAATTGTCCATCTCCACAATTATCACTGACTACAAATGATCAGTGTATTTTCTATGAAACCGGTTATTCATCATCGTCATCATCGACTTTACCGACAACAACACATTCATCGAGATGTGCGATACCATCGACCTTGTCGTCATCAACATCGGCAGCAGCGGCAGCGATCAATGATCCGTCGACTTCGATATGGCGTCCTATGGATTGCGACCGAGCATCATCCATTGGAGGCAATCAATCAACGTGTTTGGTTGATTCACAGTATTCTATTCCAGTGAATAGTACTCATCATTGTAGTAAGAATACGACACCGGCATTGTCGTATACCGATGATATTACTGTTGATGATAGAGATGAGGGTGATGAAGTGTTTGAAGTCGAGAACTATGACCAACGACAATATCATCCAATCGATCATTTATTTCCATCCCATGACGATTTGATGTATACTGGTAGTAATCGTGATGCTGCTGTTGATGTTGATGATGGCGATGACGGTGAGGAGGAGGAGGATGTCGATGATGATGATGACATCGACGACGACCTTGATGATGGAGAAGAGGTGGGGGATAGTGACTGTGCTGGTGGTTTGACAAACAATCATGTCATTACCACTGCTACTACGACTACTAGTACTAACACTACTACTAATAGTACTACTAATAATTCAACTTGTGACAATGCCAGACAAGAAGAACATCAAATAACAACAGATTTACTGGATACTAGTTTAATGCTTTCATGGAATCCAACACAAAGTCACAATCATCATTCATCAACAGAATTCTTTGCTCATCATTATTATTATTTTTATAATTCTCAAAATTGTTCCCCAAAATTCCCATCCCCAGATTTGCATAATCTATCGCCTGTATCAATGCATTTTGATCAACCGTCAGAAGAACGTCCGCCAACATTTGATGGGTTGCCGTTGCCATTTCCATCATCATCATCGTCATCTCATCAACTGCTGCATCCTATTCACGATCAGACTACGACAACAACAAATTTTACTGGAATCCAATCTCCTTGTTCATTGTTATCACCTGTATCGTCGATTACAACATCGACGCCATCATCAACATCGTCTTTATTGTGTGAAAATAATCTAACTGATTGTTCAAATTATTTAGGACAATTCTATCATCATTACAAGAATAATAATACTACTGCTAATACTACTACTAGTAGTGATTTAAGTAGTATACCGAATATGATCAATAATATAGAGCCGACTTATTATCCTGTAATTCCAGATGACATTCCAAACGGTACTGATCAATGTTCAAATTTTTCTGTCGGTTATTTAATTGGTCATTCAACTATGTCTCCTTCAGCATCGTCATCCACATCATCGATAGCTACCAATTCCAGATGTTCACTATTACAAACAGAACAGACAACTGGCATCCTCTCTTCCATATGTCCATCTTCCACTGTGACCACATCATCATCGTCCAATCCCGTTACGGATAATATGAATTATTTGAACACTCCACACTTATCATCTCTTCCACTCACCACGGATCATTGTAATGTAGTAGTTGTTCAACAGTCCACACAATCATCATTGTCTCAATTGAATTTTACAAATGATACATTGGATTATGAATTTATTGTTTAAACAATTGTTGTGTGTGTTGATTGATTGATTGATTGATACAAAGAAAAAAACGCAAAGTTAACATGTTCTTCAAAATTGAACACATTGAACAGTTTAAAAAAATAATCTGTGAAAAGATTTTTTCTTTGTTTAGATCGATAACTGAAAAAAAAAGATGGAAGAAGTGTACATTAGACAAAATAAAACACATGTAACGCAATGTTATGTTTGTTTATTCATGATGATGATGATGATGTTGTTAGTTTACGGATGATGAAATTTGAAAATGGCGCGCGTTCAATGTACAATTCTTTCTATCTTAACATGTTTTTTTTTGTGATTTCATTTTTTTTGTGTTGTTTTGATTTGATGATATCACTTTTTGGTTGTTTCTTTTCATATATATATATTTTTTTGTCATTGATCAGAGTGAACATTTTTGTAAATAAATGAAAAATTTTGAAAAATATGATGTAACAAAAATTTGTTGTTTTTTAAAGATATTTTCTCTCTTCTGATGTGTGTTAACAACATGAATGAACTCAATTGAAATGGTGAAGATTTTGTAGTCTTAATTATTGTTTTGATTTGGGGGTTAGCTCGTTCGTTGAGAGCAGTAAAAGTGTATCCATTTTACTGTCTTCTGAATTCCTTATGACCCTTTATCTTTCCGGGTTTTTTTTTAAATTTACTTTTCACTAGATTATACTTTTTGAATAATCCTATTCTCTCTTCGATTATTGCTAATAGTTCTGTTATTTCTACTATGGGATTTGAAGTGACAATTTCATTTCTCTGTGCTAATGTTCTATGGCAGCTTGAACTGGCGTACGTACGTACGTCTCTGTCGGATACATTGATCAGACATCCATATGTAAAACAACCAGATTATATTGTTTTTTGATCTTTAAAACATGTTAATTCCATCATACATACGGATCTAACGCTCTTCTCTCCAGTAATAACTTCTGGGTAACATTTCTCAGCATATACTACTCTTAAGCCACTTTTGCGAGTAGTATCCACGCGAGCAGTGGTATTATCTATGGCAAATCAATAGATGAAACATTGAAACGTCATCAGTTGAGGTGGCTGGGACATGTGTTACGTATGTCTAACCACCGACTGCCTTGACGAGCTATGTTTTGTGGTGTAGGAGTAGGTTGGAGAAAAGTTAGGGGCAGCCAGACCAAAACATGGCAGAAATCCATGAAGTCACTGACAAGTGGACTGAGTCATGTTGGTAGATGTAGACTAACTAACTGGTTTGGGTCCGCGAGACGAAAGTCACCGATGGTTAGAGACCTTGAACGACATGGCTCAGAATCGTTTGCAGTGGCGCAGGTGCATCCACTCTTTGTGTGCTTTTTAATTCTAACCTGAGTTCCTCATCATCTCTGTCTTTCTCCTTCTAAATTTATCTCACTCAATTATATTTCTCGAATCATATCTTCTCTCCCTAATCTTCTCCATTACTGCTAATACTTCTATTATTGCTATCACTCTTGGATTTGAACTGACAGTTACGTCTCTGTGCTGACGTGGTATGGCAACCTGAACTGATGTACTTATGTACGAAGTTCTGTGTTGTATCTGTCTGTCTGTCTGGTATTATGTATGAATTATGATAGGAAAAATTCGGCATAGGCAATATGGATTCGAGGAAAGAGAATATATTCATGAAATAAATATTATAAGATTGTTTAAAAACCGAAGAAAGTTGTGTTAATTCATCTACGCCATTTTGTGTCATGTCATCCAACGTGTCCGAAGCGTAGATCATGATAATCGTGATTAGTCTGCACTTATCTATAAGACTCAGGCATATTCTGTGACCAAACTACTGTCCAGTATGTTCATCATTTGATTGACTGATAAATATCTTGCCCATTGCACAGGTGACTAGGATCGGCCGTGATTTTGTCGGACACTACCGTATATAATGGGACTTCCACAATTAGGGTCACCTCTGATTAGTCCAGCAGATGACGCAAGTTAGTCCTGGAGCCATAATCATTACGTAAATAAAGTTCAGAACTTACTATCCATTCATTCAAGGTCATTTGATTTAGTTGTTTCTTTTCAGATATATTTTTTTGTCATTGATCAGAGTGAACATTTTTGTAAATAAATGAAAAATTTTGAAAAATATGATGTAACAAAAATTTGTTGTTTTTTAAAGATATTTTCTCTCTTCTGATGTGTGTTAACAACATGAATGAACTCAATTGAAATGGTGAAGATTTTGTAGTCTTAATTATTGCTTCGATTAGGGGTTAGCTGGTTGAGCAGTATGAGTGTATTTATTCTTATCTTCTGAATTCCTTATGACCTTTATTTCTCGGGGTGCAGGAGTCGTGGATGCGCACTGCTGATGAGTCCCATACCAGGACGAAACGGCCGTCTTTCAGTGCTTTCAGGTTTCTAATGGTGCTGCTCTAACATTCATCGATTCATGGTTTGAAAATTGTGTAACTTAACAATCTTCACAACCCCGTAATGCAAATTACCTGTGCTCACTAGTGTGACTAGCTTCGTGAGGAATCTTCTCCGAGTTCTAGTGGGAAGATGTCGTGACCAGTGAAGTTCAACCTGTTCGGGTTTAGAGAGTAACTACTACTGAAGACTGTGTATGAGGTTGCGCAACTCCGTGAATTTGATCAAGTTACACATTAACACCATTAGGCCCTACCGGCTCAGCGGTCTAACGGTTAGGGCGTTCGCGTACAATGCCGGAGGTCCTGGGCTCGAATCTTGCGGGATGCAGGAGTCGTGGGTGCGCGCTGCTGAGGATTCTCATACCAGGACGAAATGGCCGTATTTCAGTGCTTCCAGGTTTCTAATGGTGGTCTAACATTGATCGATTCATGGTTTCAAAAAATGTGTAAATTTGCTTTTCACTAGATTATACTTTTTGAATAATCCTATTCTCTCTTTGATTATTACTAATAGTTATGTTATATTTTCGGTGGGATCTGGAATGACAATTTGATTTCTCTCTATTAATGTGCTATAGCAGCTTGAACTGGTGTACGTACGTACGTGCCTACGAAGTTCTACGTTGTCGCTGACAGGTTCATTGATCAGACATCCATTTGTAAAACAGCCAGCTTATATTGTCTGTCTTTTGATCTTTAAAACATGTTGATTCCATCGTAAATGCGGATCTAACACTCTTCTCTCCAGTGATAACTTCTGTGTAACATTTCTCAGCATACTACTCATAAGCCACTTTTGCGAGTAGTATCCACCTCAGCAGTGGAATTATTTATTAAAAATGATAGGAAAGAATTCGGCATAGGCAATATGGATTCGAGGAAAGAGAATATATTCATGAAATAAATATTATAAGATTGTTTAAAAACCGAAGAAAGTTGTGTTAATTCATCTACGCCAAGCGTAGGTCATGATAATCCCGACCGTAGCTGCTACCTTGACGTGGTGGTCGGTCTTGACTATCGTGATGACCCAACAGAGCTATATTGGCTGGAACTTATGTTCCTGAAGGTTCTACCATGCCAGGCAGGTCGATTGGAGAGCGATGAGACTAAAAGCAGCTACTCAAGGTCTGAGGGCGAAGTCGTACTGCTGACTGTGATGGAGGGGTGTGACAGCAGTAAGGTGTTTCCCTCGGACAACCAGCATCTACAGTAATGCTGCCTTCTCACAAGGAAGAGAGTGTTAGAAAAGGTTGACCCTACCTCATGGATTAACGTCTCTGTCAGTAAGGGCTGTCCAAGAAGGCCTTTAAGAGAGCAGAGCTAACACTCAGAAAACGTTTCATAAAAAGGCCGTGCGTGACCGAGTTCAAGCAGTTGTCCCTTGGACTCTACGGTCACGCTGCCAGGTCTCCAAGACCAACACTAATCTATCTTCCTTTTCAGGTCCCTCAAGAAACACTCTTCCACGGTGTGGGCAGCCGGTAAGTGACAATCTCCCTCATACCCGTAACAGCACACGTGACCAAATTGGTCGAAATCAAATCCTTCCTACACCCACACATACCTCTCTTCTCTCCGCAACTAACTCTGCTCACATTCCCTTATCTGATGATAATAATCGATGGTCAGAGACCTTGAATGACATGGCTCAAAATCGTTCGCAATGGCGCCGGTGCATTTATTCTTTGTGTTCTCTCAAATCCTAATCTTCTGGATTATTTAACCCCTCCAGTTTTGACTTCCTAAACTTTTATCATTAAATCATACTTCTTGAATAATATCTTCTAATCCTAACCTCTCCGATTACTTCTAATACCCTTACTACCTCTTCTACTATTGGATTTGAATTGACAATTACATCTGTGTGCTGATGTGGTATGGCAACATGAACTGATATACTTACTACGTACGAAGTTCTACATTGCATCTGACTGACTGACTGATAATCTTGAGTAGTCTGCACTTATCTATAAGACTCAGGCATATTTTGTGACCAAACTACTGTCCAGTATGTTCATCCTTTGATTGATCGATAAATATTTTGCTCATTTCACAGGTGACTAGAATCGACCGAGATTTCGTCGGACACTACCGTTTATAATGGGACTTCCACAATTAGGGTCACCTCTGATTAGTCCAGCAGATGACGCAAGTTAGTCCTGGAGCCATAATCAGAACTTACTATACAGTCATTCAAGGTCATCTGATTTTTAAAATGTAAAACCACTCGAACGTTCAGTTACTTTAGATCGATACCGAGGGTAAGCTATTAAGGATCCAGAAGGACTCATAATTGAACATTTGTAATTAGACTGTATGTTTTCAAAAAAAGTTTACAATCAATCAATTTATCAGAATATACTAATATCCACTCACGTTGAATATGAAACGGTTTGGATCACTGAATTGTTGATATTTTTGACTGAAATTCGACCAGTGTTGGTTGGTGCATAAGCATCCTATGAGGATTTCCTCCATATAGCCATTTTAACACAAGTTTATTTAGAATAAATAGAATGTGGCTAGCAGTGGAATCGTGGATGCGCTTCGCGGAGTGAATACCAACTGTTTGATACAGTTAGATCCATCTGACTACTCGTAAATCGAATGAATGGCCGTTTCGTCCTGGTATGGGACTCATCAATAGCAGTGCTCATTCACAACTCCTGCATCTCGCAGGATTCGAACCTAGGGCCTTCGGTCTTGTGCGCGAACACCTAACTTATGGTCCACTGAGCCAGCTGGTATCTAACAGTGGTAATGTCTAACTTCAATCATTTCACGGTCTCGCGCAACCTCATACACTGTCTACACTCGAATAGGGTTGAACTTTACTGGTCATCACTTCTTACTAGAACTCGGAAAAGATTCCTCATGCAGCTAGTCACTAGTAAGCACAGGTAATTAATGGCATTACAGGGTTTTGAAGACTGTTAAATTATGCATTTCAAAATTTTCTTTTCCTAAAAATTACAATCTGAAATTATTCACGTAACAACAGCCAAATATTCATATGATATATATATATATATATATTTCTTATGAAATTTCAT